AATGAACTTGAACCATGTTTATGGCGGAATCATAATTACATAATAATGAAAAATTACGAAAAATTTGAGTCAAAGCGGTTTCAAAGAAATAAGAAAAACGTGTGTGGACATTTTCATATTTTACGCCATATTTCAGTTGGCAAAACATCCAAGCCTCAAGGATTCAAGTAAGATATATTCTATTAAATAACCAATTTTGTACGTAAAAATGAAGTATTAAGCCAGATTTTGGCTTAGAATGGAAACGTGTTAAGCTAGGAGTAAAAAGCCTAACTACACAATTTCCTCTTGCAACAGGTACACTTCGAACGTAATTTTCTTTAAAATTATTATACCTACGTATCAATCTATCACACTATTATTTATATTAAATTTAAACAATTCCGGTCGATAATGTTGCTAAATCATCAAAATATCGAATGAAGGGAGGTACCGTTACTGTAATAGGTTGTAGTACACATTACGAACTTCAAATACGAAATTTAATACAATTCCGTTGAAAAATTGAGGCAATATTATCAAAATACCGAATTTCGGATGATACTATTACAGGGTGAGAAAAAAACGGCAACAAAGTCAAACGCCATAGTTTCTACTTTTTTTAAAATTTTATTGAATAAGTGCATAATATGTTCAAAATGAAACCGACATACGCTGCCCGAATGTTGCTCTGCGGTATTTTTGCCCATTCCAGGCGTAGCGCTTGTTTGAGGTGATCGACGCTGATATTTTTTAGTGCCAATACTCCATACACAATAGTCCAACTGATTGGTATCCGAAGATTTTGGTGACCATTGTGCGCTGGAAATAAAGCGAGGTCTGCGCCAAAATGTTTGCGTGCCCTGCAGAATATTTTCGCGATAATATTCGACATTTTTTCAGATGCCACGGTCGATTAATACGAGCGGAGAGCGACCATCGGCAGTTATGGCGGCCCACACCATCACCATGGCCGGCGCTTGAGTTGTGGTGGCCAACCGAAAGTGCATATTTTCAGCTGACTTCTTTGACAAGTAAACACGATCATTTTGTTTGTTTACAAACTGCTGAACAATGACTGTTTTCTCATCGTAGAAAACCAAAGTCGGCAGTTCAACACTTTCGGCCAAGCGAAGCAACTCTTTAGCTATTTTGAGTCTTTATTCTTTCGGTTGCGGTGTGAGTTTTTGCACTTTTTGGAATTTCAATGGCCTTACCCCGAGCTCATTATTCAATATTTGCCGAATGGAATATTGCGATATGTTCAGCTCACGAGCCATTTTACGGCCACTGCGACACGATCGATTCTTTTCTAACCATTTCTGCTGATGTTGCTGTTTTCTTCCTTTCACTTCCCTGACGTAGGGCTACGCTATCAGAATCACGACAACGAGCGATGGTACGAGACACAAGAGATTTATTCACATTTAAATGCTGGAGTGCTCTAACGATAGCCACTTGTGGTTTTCCAGCTAAATATAAAGAAATCACACTATCACGCATCAATTCCGTTCATAGAATTTATGTCCGGATAATATTAGATTCATAACTCAAGCCACAACCATATTCACTTTCCCAAAATTCATTTGGAATTGTAGTCGATTGTGCAAGCGTGCATTAAATTAGATTCTCCTCTTCGTTTCTTGTCACTGAATCCTTGAGAAATTTGCTGTATCGATGATTCGAGAGAATTTTTGGGACACGCGACCGTGGTATGCATTGTTGGGTGGTAAGTTTTGTCTCCGGAGTTTTCTACTCTTTGATAAATGGCTTTGAGACATACACACGCCAATAATCAGCCATATTTTTTCCCTCGGTTTGTCTATCTTAGCAGGATATCAAGTAGCCAATAGGCTCAACATTTTGGCGGTGGTGTCAGAAAAAAAGTATTTGAAATGGAAGATTTCATGACTGGTAATCAATTTTCTGCCTTTCAATCTTCCTACCTTCATCCTAGTTTAGAGGAGCAATGTGATTGAAAATAATCACTTCAGTGAAACATCAACGAAATCGGAAATTAGAAATGGGCTAGAAAAGGTGTTCAATGGTCTAGGGAGAAAAAAATGGAAATCCAGGAAAAAAGGTGCGTAGATGAGTTATGTCAAGCCTTTAAGCAATTTGCCTTAAAAAAGAAAAAAGTCGATGGTATTTCATGTATATAGTGATCAAAAGTTTGTTAATGATTCTCATACAACGGTAAATTCGATTTTTCGGGTTTTTGAGTTTTTTTTTTAATATTTCAACCCAATAAAATAAGTAAGGGTTCCGGCAAATATAGAAATATTGTCGTCGCTAATAGGGCATTAAAATTTACTGTTTTTTACTACGTAAAATTAAAGTTCATGATTATTAGTTATTTAATCAAAAACAATTTAAAAAAAATCGTCTTGACCAGTGCTTTTGAAATATAATAGTTTCACAAATATTTGCATTTTCTACGTAAACTTTAAACATTCTCTCTTTTACGATTGTGCCTCTCTTTACAAATACAAATATTTGTTTAAAAGGCTTTTCCAACACATTTTCTTGCCAAATGCCAGCGCAAATAATCGATCATAGTAAAAGTTGGTAAAACGTCTGCGAAATAAGGCTGCAAATAGCTGTGGGTTAGACAGAATCTAAAATGACCATGAAATGCAATCAAAAGTAAAGTATTGAAGTGAAACTCATAGCTTTAAACATGAAGCGATTATACCCTTTTTTAATAAAAATACATAGTTTAATTGAAAAAGGTGATGAACAAATGTTTTGACAATCTGAACTATATTTTTTTTGTAAATTAGTGCAAAATATGACCATTTTTCGCCATATCTGAAAAATAATATCGAGAAGGTCCTAAAATTTTGTATTTTAGTATGGAATGTCATCTTTCATAATCAACAACAACAACAACAACAACCATAGTATGGAGGGTATATTAAGTTTGTCATTCCGTTTGTAACTCCTCGAAATACTCATGTCAGACCCAACAAAGTATATATATTCTTGATCATCGTAAAATTCTAAGTCGATTTAGCGATGTCCGTCTGTCTATTGTAATCACGCTATCTTTCGAATGAATTGAGATATATGGCTCAAAATTTTGCACACATGTTTATTTCTCCAGTAGGCAGGTTAAGTTCTTAAATGGGCCATGTAGGTCCACGTCTTCGTATAGCCCCCATATAACGGTACCTCCCAATATTAGGTATTTTGATGATTTTACCGACATTATTCACCGAAATTGTTTGAGATGTGGTATTTGAAGTTCGTAATGGATGCTACAGCCTGTGACAGAAAATTGTCTATGCTGGTCCAGGTCTTCGCACAGCTCCAATTTACCGGCACCTCCTTATATACGATATTTTGATGATTTTAACTACATTATTCACCGTTTATTTAAAGTTTCGAATTTGAATGTGGTAATGGCTTATGACAAACAATGCCTACGTATGTCCACGTCGTATAGACCCCAATATAACGGCTATATTCGGTATTTTTAAAATTGTAACAGAATTTTTTAAGGATTTTATTTTTTGAAAATTTAAAAGTTCGGCCCGGCCGTACTGCTTTTTAACTTGTTCATTTGTTTGTTTTCTACGATTTATTTCAATTTTTTTAAATATGAAGTTGTTTGTTCCGAAAGTATTAATGAAACTATTAATCAACAATAAAGAAATATACCAGTAAAGAAAGTCTTAAAGTCGGGCGGCGCCGACTTTATGATACTACTACCACTTTGCTAATTAAGTAGAGCTCCACATAACAATTAAAAGTTTCTATGGGAGAATTCAATCATACACGCTATGATTATAATTATAATTTAAAGTTCAAAGGACTAAATATGCCGAAGCATTTGTATCTTTTAAATTCGGAATTGTATTGCCCATTTGGTGCACAATTAATTTGAAATCGGATAAAGATATATATGGGAGCTATATCCAAATCTGAACCGATCTCGATAAACTTTGGCAGCGATATTTCTGAGCTGTATTTGATATATTTCCCCGAATATCGTTGTTACAGAGTGCATATTACGGTTGTGGGTACCAAATATAACAAATCGGATGAATAATATATATGGAAGCTATAACTATATCTGAACCAAATTTGACATACTAGCTACTAGACTCAATTCGGTCGTAAGTGTCAAATTCCATCCCATTTGGACAAATATTAGACGTTTGGTGCACAATAAAAGGTAAATCGGACGATGTTATATATGGGAGCTATATCCAAATCTCAACCGATCTCGATAAAATTTAGCAAATGTATTTCTGAGCTGTATTTGATATATTTCCCCAAATATTGTTGTTGCATAGTGCATATTACGGTGGCGGTGGACAAAAATAACAAATCGGATGAACAATATATATGGGAGCTATAGCTATATCTGAACCGATTTCGATCAAATTTGGCATACATATTTTCAGGCCTAACATGGGTGTATGTGCAAAATTCCATACAATTCGGGCTGATATTACACGTTTGGTGCACAATAAAAGTCAAATCGGACGAAGATATATGGGAGCTATATCCAAATTTTGACCGATTATCTCCAATTTCAATAGGGTTCGTCCTTAGGCCAAACAAAAGACCTTTGCAAAATTTCATCTGGATCGGGCAATAAATGCGACCTGTACTTTGTTTACAAAAATACATGGACAGACGGACGGACGGACAGACGGACGGACGGACATGCATAAATCGACTCAGAATGTGATTCTATGCAGATCATCAAAAGGAACTATGGGTCTATCTCGTTTCCTTCTGTCTGTTACAAACAAATGCACAAAGACATAATACCCTGACCACCTTGTGGTGTAGGGTATAATAATGTTTTAACACTGATTTGTTGATGATTTGTAAAAGAAAGAGAATTTGGTTGGTGAGCGGATATTTTTATATAAAAATATTTCTTTTACCCAAAGGTGGAGGGTATTAAAATTTCGACCCGGCCGAACTTGTTGTTATTAATGTTGAAATTTCATATTGCAGGATTTATATAGGGTGTGAAAAATATATGGGAATAACAGACTTACCGGGAATGTATTGAGTTAATCTAATCCACAATTGAATTCTTAGACTTTTTGCGCATCAATTTAATATTAATCGTAAATTTGATGTCATTTAATTGCATTCTATCGGTATTCGATAAAATTACACTTTTATTAATAATTTTGTGACAAAAAAAATGTGTTAATTTATTGTTGACACATTGTTTTTTCATTTTGCAATAAACATCAACACCACACGTAATTGCCAACACTTTATCATAAATAATATTTGACACTTTATCGCACCCGTGGACCTCATTCAAATGATTTACAAAAAGAGAACTACAGAATGTCATAAATTTCAGTGGCAATAATCCCTAGACCACTATTATTGGTTAGTGGATTAATATTCCAACAATAATGCTTTTAATGTTGTTATTAATATTTGTGTACAATATTTTAACTAAATTTAAAATATATGTATCTTCATATTTGTTCTAGGTAGTTTCGCGCCATTTTTTTAATTGTTACCGCAGCAAAAACAAACAACTTTCTTTAAAGGACCTGTAGCTTTCGTCTGACAGGTATCCGCTTTAAACGTTTACACACTTCCGTATCCGAGTACCGAATGAAAGCAAGTCAGTGTGTCAATGTGGAAATTCATTCATGTTCTGTTTACAATTCATTCAATAGTAAATGGAGGGAGAGAAAAGGATTTGGTGTGAGAACAATGGCTATAGCAGGGTTTCCAAATGCGCAAAAATTCCCAACTTTAAGAAGCAACGAAAGTAAAAAAAAATGCAGATATATCTCAATTAAATATAACATAGTAGAGGCAAATATATATTTCAAGCAAATTTAATCGACTTCAGTTATGCCAATAATTTTTTGCAATAATAAGCATTTTTAAACACACAATAGCTAGAATTGAAATCATAAATAGTTAGTTACCCTATTTCTCACTGATTCTGCGCACAAAAAATCAGAAGTGATGTTCGGTTTATAATATTCGGTTTTCACCCGGCGTTATCATACGCAGGATATTGACAGGAAAGTTAAGTTGTTTCAAACTGAATTTTTATCGGCTATAAATTAAAGCTAGAGACAAGGCGCACTTATTGCTCACTGTAATATGTTTATAGTATAATAAGTAAAGTGATTTCTCCACATCTTTTTTAAACATTTTTATAGCATACTTCAAGGCGCTCTCCACAAGATTTAAACAGCAGCCTGTTTTTATACACTCATGGTATGGAGGGTATATTAAGTTTGTCAATCCATTTGTAACACCTCCAAATATACATTTAAGGCGCCACAAAGTATATATATCTTGATCAGATCCGTCTGTCCCTCTGTGGAAATCACTCTAGCTTCCAAACGAAATGAAGCAGATTGATAAAATTTTACTCAAATATAATATTTGAGCAAAATTTTATGAATCTGCAGGCTTTTTATACCCTACACCACAAGGTGGTCAGGGTATTATGTCTTTGTGCATTTGTTTGTAACAGGCAAAAGGAAACGAGATAGACCCATAGTTCCTTTTGATGATCTGCATAGAATCACATTCTGAGTCGATTTATGCATGTCCGTCCGTTCGTCTGTCCGTCCGTCCGTCCGTCCGTCCGTCTGTCCATGTATTTTTGTAAACAAAGTACAGGTCGCATTTATTGCCCGATCCAGATGAAATTTTGCACTGATCATTTGTTTGGCCCAAGGACGAACCCTATTGAAATTGGAGATAATCGGTCAAAATTTAGATATAGCTCCCATATATATCTTCGTCCGATTTGCCTTTTATTGTGCACCAAACGTGTAATATCAGCCCGAATTGTATGGAATTTTGCACATACAACCAAATTAGGCCTGAAAATATGTATGCCAAATTTGATCGAAATCGGTTCAGATATAGCTATAGCTCCCATATATATTGTTCACCCGATTTGTTATTTTTGTCCATCGCTGCGGTAATATGCACTCTGCAACAACAATATTTAGGGAAATATATCAAATACAGCTCAGAAATACATTTGCAAAATTTTATCGACATTGGTTCAGATTTGGATATAGCTCCCATATATAACTTCGGCCGATTTACCTTTTATTGTGCACCAAACGTCTAATATTTGTCCAAATGGGATGGAATTTGGCACATACGACCGAATTGAGTCTAGAAGCTAGTATGTCAAATTTGGTGAAGATCGGTTCAGATTTAGCTATAGCCTCCATATATATTATTCATCCGATTTGTTATATTTGTTACCCACAACCGTAATATGCACTCCGTAACAACTATATTCAGGGAAATATATCAAATACAGCTCAGAAATATCTTTGCCAAATTTTATATATATATTTATCCGATTTCAAATTAATTGTGCACCAAATGGTCAATACAAGTCCGAATTTAAAAGATACAAATGCTTCGGCATGTTTAGTCCTTTGAACTTTAAATTATAATTATAATCATAGCGTGTATGATTGAATTCTCCCATAAAAACTTTTAATTGTTATGTGGAGCTCTACTAAATTAGCAAAGTGGTGTAGGGTATCATAAAGTCGGCCCCGCCCGACTTTAAGACTTTCTTTACTGGTTTGTATTGAAAATGGGCCATGTAGGTCCATGCTCATAAAGAAACCCTTGTGTGGAATTTCAGACAATTCCATTGAAAAATGTCGCTGAAATCATCAAAACACCGAATATCAGGGGGGTACCGTTATATGGGGGCTATACGATATCGTGGACCTACATAGATAATTCTCTTTCAAGGGATAAAGTACCCACAAGGAACTCCTTGTGTGGATTATCAGACAATTCTGTTGACAAATATGGCTAAAATCATCAAAATACCGAATATCGAGGGGTACCGTTATATGGGAGCTATACTATATCGTGGACCGATATAGTCCATCTTCGAACTTGACTTGCAGACAAAAACAGATCTGTGCAAAATTCTAGCTTCCTATCTTTATTCCATTTGACTGTAGCGTGATTACAACAGACGGACAGACGGACGGACAGGGCTAAATCGTCTTAGAATTTTACGCTGATCAAGAATATATATACTTCATCAAAGCCACATTTTCCAATGGAATAGTCTGAAATTCTACACAAGGAATTCTTTGTGAGCACTTTAGCCTCTGAAAGGGAATTATTGACAATTATTCAGTATTTTGACAATTTTAGACACATTTTCCAATTGAATTATCTGAAAATCCACACAAGGAGTTCCTTGTGAGTACTTTACCCCTAGACATAGATTTGTCTATATAGGTCCACAAAATCGTATATCCCCCATATATCGGCACCTTCCGATATTAGGTATTTTAAAGATTTTAACAAAATTTTCAATGGATTTTTTTTGAAAATGTCCTAATTTGTTCCAAATGGTGGAGGGTATTTAAAGTTCGGCCCTGACGAACTTACTGCTTTTTTACTTGTTAACTCTACTTTCATAATCTGCCAAATTTCCCCCGTAAGTATTGAAACAATTAAATTTTGTCGCACAGTATAATCCACGCGTAGCCATCTGTAATATTGCCGAAGGCTTTATATGCGAAAATTTAATAAAATGGAAATCATAAATCGGGAAGACTAAACAATTAAAAATACCCGGTGTGCGAATCAAGTTTTTTCCACTTAGACTACGACAACTCTCATTAAGAAATCTTACCATACAGCTGCATCATTCAAATAAAAACTCAACTTTACTATTATTAATAATCATAATAATCATAATAATGATAATAATGTTTTATTTTTTATTTTTAATTCGTTTTAAGTACATTTCTTCATTTATTTACTGCTTTACAATCGATGGAAAGTAGATAATACGAACTTATAGCTCAAACTTAAACTATGTTCCTTAATTCGTAATGTTTAAAAAGATTGGCATACTCCAAGGGGAGTATGGATAATACTTGATCTGCTCGCTATATATGCATTGAAACTTTTTATCGTATAATACTGATTTATAGTTTACATAAAAAAGACGGAAAATATCAAAATATCTTAAAAGTGTTATTTTGTAAAAAAAAATAGTAGTGTAAACTTCTAATAAGAAGCACGAAAATATTTAAAAAAACAGCTGATAGGTATACAAAATGTACTATTAAGGAATCTCAATACGTTGTTGCAGTTTCATAATAAAATGTCATGTATTTTTTGTGTGTTTAAAATGTAAAATAATTGTTCCTTAAGATTACATTCATTTCTGTAAGTTAAAAATAAACTTATATAAAATAAAAAAATATTATTTATATAACAAATAATACAACCTTGTATAAATGAGTATTTCTTTTCATTTGTCTTTGAAAATGTAATTTTCTTTTTTATAAATGCAACTGAACCTAGTTTATAGTACATAATTGAATAATGAGTTTATTGGTTTTCATGCATATTAATACTACACCAGAATGTGAAATAGCGTCCGGGTCAACCAACCTATGGCCTTTTCGATATGTTATAATGAAATGAGCAGATATAAAAGGCTATATCAAAGTCTATTGCCGCTGTTAAAGGTAATTTGTAGTAAAAATACTGAACTCAGCTTCGAGAAAAGTACACATATCAGGCCGATCCAAGAACCTAATTCATGTAACAAATTGTTTCCGAAGTCTAACATGTAAGAATTATACGTTTTCGTTAAGATATGTTGAGAACATGTATATTTGTCAGGAAACACTTAAATCTAATACTTAAGCGACGTCAATGGACTTACTAAACTATTATTCAAAAATATCTTCTTCCTCCCAGCAGAGGCAGCGGGACCATCAAATAAGTGTGATGAGCTTCGCAGTAGGTTAGTTTGTGAGCATGGACGACACCCACATCGTTCCTGAGCCTGAAAAAGGGGCCGGGTGGTCCCACTACTGAAGCCAGGAAAGGATACCCGCAAAGGTGAATCATACAGGCCGATTTCGCTTTTATCGCCTGTAGTAAAGACCCCTGAAGAATTACTTCTACCCAGCATCAGAGGAAGTTATCCAGTTGCTGATCACCAACATGATCTCGTAGGAAACACAGCATCACAATAGCTATATCCACATGTATTACGTTGAGAATATTACCCTCCGGCAGAGTTAAAACGTTGAAAAACAGTTAAATATGTGAATGTCAGTCATACATGGAATTCCAGAACAAGAAAACCGCCCTAAGTCAACGGCCACACTCTTTAGTACATGATTTGCGGAGGTAAGAAAACAGCTGAAAATACAAATCGAGGAGCACCGATCCGACCTCTGCTAAGGCGTCACATTCGACGGTATGTCCAAGTCACCTGCGCGATTCACAATTATCTGGCGTGTACCACAACATCATTACACGCCATTTCCGCACATATTAGTAGAGGATTGAACCAGAACAAGCCGTGTGACCTATCAAAGGCATTTGATACGGTCAATCGTGCCATACTGTTTGAGGACGTGTAGAGAACCACCCTCCGGCCAAATTTGAAACGTTGGATAATCAACTATATGTGTGGACGCCAGTCGTACGTGGAATTCCTCAAGGTGGGGTCATATCTCCGGAACTGTTTAACCGCTACCTTTCAGGAATTCCTCGACCTCCAGACGGCGATCATACGATACGTCGGGTTAATGACATATGTGAAAGGCTGAACCCCTAACTCGTGGAGCTTGCCGCATACTTCCACGCGAGGAATATGAAAATATCCGCCATGAAATCAACGCCCTCACTCTTTACCACATGGTCTGAGAAGATGAGAACACAGCTGAATGTGCAGGTCGAGAGGAATTTAATACCGACCACGAACTACCCCAAGATTCTAGGGGTCACATTCAACAGCATGTTCAAGTTGTCCGCGTAAGCCACAGCTATCTGCGATTTTATCTTGTCTAGGGTGCCTTCTCATGACACCAGTGGACCATCTACATGAGGAGGCGAAAATCCTTCCTTTACGTCAGCATAATCATATGCTTCCGTTGCAGTACCTGCTTGGGTGTTACCGTGAGAATCATCGTAACCACCAAAGGACATACACGATCTAGAGAGGAAGGTCCAACGCTATAGGAGAGAACCTCTAGATCGGGAGCCTATCAGGCAGGTCTAAGTGGCATTCATACCGATGCAGTAGCAGATGCCATCAGCAGTTATAGAATGAATACCGTCCAAACCAGGCTAGTTTTTGTGCAATTACGTTCAGGATGGTGTATTCGTCTCAATTCGAACACGAATTGATAAAGATGTGCGTGTCGCCTGCCCGGCGCCTGATACAGGCCCGCACAATACGCTACACCTCTTTAATTGCACAGCCAAACCTACCCAACTCACCCCAGAAGATCTCTGGCTACAGGCCGTTAAAGTAGCCGAATTTCTAAACCTGGAGCTGGAACCAGATTAGCAGAACACAAACACATGCATGTACTACTGCTACAACAACAACATCTTGAAATAAATTCAAAAGTAGGAACAATATCCCTAAGGTGTTAGCCGGCAGCACTTGTGGTGCAGATAAGAAGACCTTGTTGCCCTTCTAAAAGAAAGTCTTACTAGGTCGACCTGTGCTTAGCACCGCGACTGCAGTGTGCTCTGTGAAGATTATTCAGACTAGCTAGAATGCCGCCCAAGAATTGCAGCAGACTACGTTCTCTTCTTACGTCACAATAATCATATGATTTTGTTATAGAGCATGTTCGGGATGGCGTGTCAGGAAGAACCTGTATGAGAGTCTCTAATCAAGAAGACTATCTTGGCATTCGTACTGATACAGATTCCATGTACAGTATGAATTCCGTCTTCAGAGTTCATATCCCATCCATTCCAGCTGAAGAACCTCGGCTACCTAGACAAACCAGGGTAGTTTCGGGCGCGAATAGATGAAGATGTGCAAAAAGTCTGCCTAGCGTACGACACAGGCCCGCATACTACGCTGCACTTTGGAAAATCTTGTCTACAGTCTTTGAAAGTAGCTGCACTTTTGAGTTTGGAATTAGAATCTGACCAACAGAAAGCAACATGGAACATATTACTGTTACAACAACAAAGTAGAATATAAAAAAGTAAAACTTGCAAAATATTCAAAATTAAAACTCAACCCAATAGATTTTGTCACATAAGCATAGCAAAAATACTTATGAAATTTATGCAAATAAAATTAATTTACCTGCAAAGTTAGGGGACCCATGCAGGGCTTCATTACAAAGATCAATAGAGAAAAGTATGACAATAAGAGAAAATAGTCTTCAGACTAAACAAGAATAATAAAAGCTAAACATAAACCATCAAGTTTAACAGATTCGAACAAAAAATGAGAATCTGATTTAGTATTAAAATGCATATTGGTTTGTAAAATTGCAAAATGTAATAAATCGTAATACTATACACACAAACTAACAGTCATTTTACCTCGCATACGAACGATAAGAGATAAAGAAATTTTAAAGAGTACGTTTCTATAACTTCAAAACTTGCCCCAAAATAAACACAGCTTCATGCTAATTTTTTTTTTGAAAAATGGGAACCATAAGCAAAACCGAACATTAAAGGAGTTTTGGTAGTGGGACACATTCACAAAATGTTTGCAAACAATAAAACATTGACGCATATGTAACCCTAAGATGGTAGTAGAAGAAATACTTTCAAGATAGTATTTTTCACGGTTAATTTGTGTCCATGAAGATAAATGAAATATGGAACAATTTCGTCATTAAAATCCCAAAATTCTCGCATGAGAACATATTGTCAACTGCAGGAAAATTGCCCTTGACCTGAAGAAAATCAAATCATTAGTTAGGTTTGGATGAACTGTCATCAGTTTAGAAACCATTTGACAACTACATTACTGGCAATTCAATTTCTTCTCCAAGAATAAACCAAATTACAGCACAGCAATATTTTAAAAGTCGCTGACTATTAAAAACGACTGAACATGTGAAGAAGATGGTTTCGCCTCAACCAATTTCACATCTGGCATAGTATTTCAAAGTGATTTGAGATGAACGATTAGTTCTACATACTCTCTATATAGAATATTATCAATAATTGCGTCTATACATAAATACCGTTTAAAGTTTCCTATGATATTGTCTATTGTGTATCCATTGTCGGTGCCGGAAGTGTTGCTGCCATTTCATTTGTCGATGACATATTACTGGCTTGAGAGTAGACACGCATGCGAGCCTCATGTTCCAATAGGGCTAAACGAATTCGTTGTTCGTGTAATTCACGCATATAACGTAATTTAATATCCTGTTCTTGTTGTTCATGGCGCAATTTCTGTTCGTGTTCTTTGCGAGCAAAATCCATTTCAGCTAAACGTGCACGTTTCATTAGATCAAACAGTTGCTTTTTGAATTTCTCATCTCTAGACGCCGGCGGTGATGGCGGCGGTGTTGACAGGTTGGAGGTGGTATGTGTTGCTGGTTTGTTTTCCATGGGAGCGACATAATTTGCATTCAGATTCGATGTTAAGGGTATCGTCATTGTGACACCAGCTGTAGAGTTTTCCAGATCACCCATCGATGCAGCAGCTTCACATTTTTGTCGTTTTATTTTTAAACCTATAACGGGTTTGTCACCCGGCGATTTTATGTCCTTTTCTTTAGCTGGTTTCTCCTTTAATTTTGGTAACACTTTTCTTTTCTTCACGGGCACCACTTCATTTATGGGCTCACTAATTTGTTGAAATTCTAAATTCTGAGATTCGGCCGAGGTGGATGGCGATAGAGCTAATGTTGATGTAGGTTGGGTATCTTCACTATTACTGGTATTATTGAAAAGGGTTGCAGGTAAAGCGGCCAAGGGTGTATCATCTTCTTCGTCCAAATCATCGAGCAGTTCTTTTTTAATTTGTATTGCAGAGTTACGGGTCTGACTACGTGTGCCACCAATGGCTGGCTCCTTTAACATTTCCTCCATAAACTCGAGCATTTGTAAACCTTCCAGCATGTTTGTAGATTTTGGATTTTTCTGTTGATATTCTTTTTTAGCTGAATTCTTCATGCTGCGCCACTGCACCTGTATTTGTTCCATCGAACGATGACGGAAATTTAATGCATTGAAGCTTTTTTTTGGGGGAAGAGAAATGAAGATGTTAATTTTTAAAGAGCAACGAAATAAAATGTGCGTAACTTACTGCTTGGTAACGTGTAACCACGCCAAACGCTTCGATTTAATTGATTTGGCATCGACTGATTTATTTTCCACAAATTCCACCTTTGGTTTAATGATTTCCACTAAGAGGCCCTGAAAAGGAGAACAACATATAAAAATTATTCGATCTCTTTCAATGAAATTTACGTATTAAGTCGAAGGAAGTTAAATTATAGATTAAATAAATAAATTCACAACTGAACATAAACTTAATGAAGAATCTGACTATATATATAAAAATCTTAGCACAAAAACTTTTTACGCAGTCAGTGTTAGATCAATTTGTAGAAAGAAAAGATTTACATCAGGAGTCAGAAACTGAAAGTTTCAAATGGAAATTTTTAAATGAATAAATGTCTCCAGTTGATTTTATTATTTCATAATATGATATAGGTATATCGAGATTGCTTTTGAATTGTTATAGAAAAATATTCCATAAGCTTGTCATATATACATACTATCGTTTGTTTCGTCCCTGTAATTCCACAATCCGTTTCACTTCACACAAATATTTCTGTATTAAAAAAGAATGACCAGATGAGCGAGTTGCTGCTTGAAAACTAATATCTAAATCCATTCTCAGACTCAAGCAACTCTGAACGTAACACAATGTGAGCTTTTGTAGAGTTTTCTCAGAATGCCATGTCAGCAAAAAGATACCATGAAATGTGAGTGAAAAAACGTTGGATATACAGGGTGAGATGAAAAAATTGCAACCAACTTCAGACTGCTGTCATTTCTAAGCCACTTGTCCGACAGCTGTTAAAATTATTTCAGTGACAGCTCATTGTATTTTGTTACAAGCGTACAAAAGCATTTTGGTGACAATTTTCCAGAAAAAAAGTTATTCGTGATGGAATTCAAGCGTGATAGTGTGATTTCTTTATATTTGGCTGGAAAACCACAAGTGACTATCGTTAGAGCATTCCAGCATTTAAATGTGAATAACGGTAACGATAAAATGGACGGTAGAGAACAGCAACATCAGCAGAAATGGTTCAAAAAGTAAAGAAGCCACTTGATCGAAACCCGCGTCACAGTGGCCGAAAATGGCTCGTGAGCAATATTCCATTCGGCAATTATTGAAAAATGAGCTTGTGGTAAAGCCATTGAAATTGAAAGTTCAAGAACTTACACCGCAACAGAAAGAAAATAGACTCAAAAGAGCTAAAGAGTTGTTTCGCTTGGTCGAAAGTGGTCGCTCTCCGCTCGTATTAATCGACCGTGGCATCAGAATAAAAAATTCTGGAGGATGTATTAAAGTATTGGGCAAGCAAACATTCTCGCTTCATTTCCAGCGGACAATGGCCGAAAAAATCCCCGGTTGCCAATCCGTTGGACTATTGCGTCTGGAAAATTTTGGAAAGCAAACGAACAAATCTAAACTTATTCCAAAATTTGATGCTATTTCCGACATATTTTGCTTTCATTCAATAAAATTAAAAAAAATGTAAAAATTATGGCGTTTGACTTTGTTGCAGTTTTTTTTTATCTCACCCTGTACATTAGAAACTTTATGATTTAGAAACTGCACGATTTAAAAGAGCAAAGATAATGGGCATATGAATACGAATTAAATTTACTAAACTAAGAAACATAATCGAATTTAAGTTTTTTTTTCTAAGACTATGCATTTTTTATGAAGAAAGTGTTGAAACTTCAATTGTCTTCGGTTGTGACCTCTTTTAAAGTAAACAAGAATAGGTCAACTATTTCCACAGAATTTTATTATATTATAAGGCTTAATATAAATGTTCATAACTCAGAAAAAAAGATGTAGAACTTGTATTCAAATAACCAAGATTTGAATAAAATGGCTGAATGGTAGAAATTGGATCCTTAATAAAATTTCTAGTCTGCTGCAGCTGTTATTTATCCAAATAACGAAAATCTGAATGTACCGTTTTATTAGAATTATACCTAAATATGGACCGATATTTGAACACCAAACAACTTGGGAGTGCTACAAACAATTATGCCAAATTTCATTCATATATCGTTCAAATTTTAGCCTATAGTTTGCCTCTTAAATTTAGTATTTTCAACTGAACAAGAGGGTTTAAAAATGACAGATTAATTACACTCTATATCTCATGGTAGAGGGTGTAACTAAATTGTTGAAATGGCCTGAATATCTGGAAGTTTTCACAGGTTTCTTTTCATCTTTAAAAATATGCCAAGAATTAACGCACATCTTTAAGCGCCATCTACTGGCCTACTCACATAACGATCATATACTGCTTGTTATTGTTTGTACAGTTGAACACGGAAATCTGAATAAATACCCAATTTAATATTGAACAAACAAATTTCTTTTCACTACCAAAAAAATCACATTCTTCCAAAAAATCCAATAAGAACAAACACTGACCAAAAACGAGGTAGGTATCCCTTGTCCATATTGAATGGTGGCAAAACGATTTAACTACAACTTAACATTCACACCGATAACACATTCTCACAAACATTCGCAGTATTTCTTATAGACATTTTACTTAAAAACGCCTGCATACATAAAATATCTTGGGTATCCTGTCAACTATAGTGGAAGACATTACAAGTGAAAAAGCTGAAATGGTCAACTTACACGCTCAGCTTCCTCCCAGTTGAGGGAACGTTTTTTTCGCACCGATTTCTTTTTGCCCATGGACGACTCTTCCGTTTCACCCGTTTCATTGTCGACAGACTCATCCACTTTTGCAAAGGTTTTCAATTCCGAACTAAACTCACTACCATTTTCATTTTTTACACAACTACCGTTGCCATCATCTAAATCCTCATCAGCTTCCGGAAATTGATCGAAATCCTCTTCGTTTTCAGATTTCGGCGTCTCTGGCGGCGGTGGAGCTTGTGGTATAGCGGGCTCCACCTTCGTTCCCCCAAGAGTTGCGGAAATTTTCAATGGTGTTACCAAAGGACTCGGACTCCCATTTACGTTCGGCTCCAATTTCATTTTTGATTTTTTCCGTTTATATTGTTTTGTTGCCGTTGAAAGCTTAATTTTGTAGCAGTTTTGTTTCTGCCCAAGAGAATTACAAATTTTTCTTCGTTTTTTTCTTCCTTCAAACTTTGATTTTTTGTTTATATATGCTCCAACTCCAACATTAGGGTTGTATGAATCGACAAACGACCTATCGAATGTTTATAGCAAAACAGAGCTGTTATCGATACGAACGATAACTTTGCGTAATGTGTAACCGATACTTGCACATAGAAATCCGTTGGAATTTTTAATTTAAATCTATATAGATAAAAAATTGATGTTGTCGGACAAATAAATCTTTTTTCATTAATACAAGTTTCATTTAAATATGAACTGTCCGATAAGCAAATGCCAGATTCATTCAGATTTAGATTCAATCTTGTGGAGTAACACAAAAATTCCATTCTTGTTGTTTCGCGGGTTTTCCGCAATATAAGAATTTTGTTAAAAAAAAAGAAAAATAAACAAAACCAACTGTTGCATATTTAAAAGTCTATCTCCAGCACAGAGTAGCATTTTTCTAGTTTAGAACGAAGCTACCTCCTTAATACAATTTGTTTCTTTTGGTGCCCTTATTCTGTCAAAACATATACATATTTTGTGTATATGTGTGTATTTTTTTGAATGAAAAATGCAATAATTTGAAATTATTTCAAATTCGGTTGCAAAATAAATGCATACTTTTGACGTTTAAGGGCAACACATTGTACAATTTTGGGATAAAACTGCATTGTCCTACTATTTTAGATTTAATCTTGTGGAACAACACCAAAATTTCATTCTTGTAGTAGCATTTTTCCAGTTTCTTTGAAGTTAGGTAACCTTTCTTATTGAGCCATGTGTCAGACCATCTTTCCTTTATATTTTAACGTAAAGTTTACTCTGTTCTAGAACCCGCAAGAATCTACTTGTTTTGCGTTTTTTTTTCTATATCATAAAGGAAAAATCAGTTCTGTAACAGACCTTTGACATGGTATTTTAGTCCAACCAAGAAGCATGTGCATATCATATTCAGTTAACCTTCGGGCGGCTTAAATTAAACTTCAGTGGCAATCTTTCCCATTTCGCTATTGAAGATTTATAACTGCAGTCTATATGATGATGTTGACCAGTACTCTGATAATATCAATAAGAAACGAGACAGACTTCTTATATAAATTGGACACAGAAGTTAAAAATTAAAATTTAGGGGTTTACAAAGATACGTCATATGCAAGCACAGCGTCTACATTATTAAAAAATCTAAAGACTCTGTTACAGAACCAGCAAGTATCAACTAGTTGTGCAATTTTCTTTATATCATAAAGGAACAATCGGTTGTAGTAAAAATTTTAAAATCCTTGCTGTTCTGGAACAGGACATATATCAAAATGTTGTACGAGTGGCTACATAAAACCCGTCTTTGTCAATATATGGTCTGTTCCAGAATTGCAAGAATGTAAAAGTTTTTACTACGATAACCGATTTTCCCTTTAAGATATTGGAGAAATTTGCAAAACTAGTAGGTTCTGGAACAGACCTATATATAGCGTCAGATGTAGATGACAACCGCCTAAATATATTTTTGGTGCCCATATTCTGTTTTGAAAAAATGTTTGAAATTATGCAACAGAAATATATTTTTCCACATTAACTTGCAAAAAATGTATAGTTTTAGAATAAAACAATTGGTCTGCTCCAGTACCTACAGGAATCTACTAATATTGAATTTTTTACTTTCTTGCAATTCTGGAACAGACCAAATATTGTCCCTCAGTCTTAGATTCAATTTTGTGGAAAAAATCCAATATTTCATACATGTTTTGTGGTGTTTCCAACTGCAAAATTGAAAAAAAAAATGAAAAAGAAAATTAAATAAACAAAATCAGTTTTTGCATGTTTGAAGGTATACTTGACATAATAAGACTCCAGAGGTATAGCTAAGCTAAGTGCTATACCAAATCTCTTTGAGAAAATTCTTAGTGATACGCTGTCCTTTTAAGTCTCCTCTGTATTACCCAACTTTCAGCACGGTTTCGAAAAAAATCGCTTAACTATTACAAATGTTTAGAACTAACTATTGTAAACGATGGTTTTAAAAATAGAATGCAGTCAGACACTATCTACATGGATATCGGAAAAGCATTTGACAAGGTTAATCATGATCTGCTGCTTCTGAAACTTGATAAGATGGATTTCATTAATTGTCTGGTGAAATGGTTCAAGTCTTATTTATCAGGAAGAATGCAAAAGGAAACATTTAACAATGCTACTTCAAAAACTATTCTATCCTATCCTCAGCAATGGTGAACAAAGCTAATCTACACTAGGATTTATAAAAAGATGGAGCAAGGAGATTACGGACCCCCTAGTCACAAAACAACTATATATTTCCTCTGTTCGAAGTTTATTGAATATGGCTCTATTGTCTGGCTCACCTTTTATGCAATGCACTCTAATTTCTAACAAATTCTATTGTTCGCTTTGCGTAGTCATGGGTGGAGTCATGAAACATTTCCCTTTTATGAAACCAGACTTAATATATGAAAACTTTCTTCATTGAAAAATCTACAGAACATTATACATCTCATAATTTAGTGATGAGCAGAATTTCGATAAAGGTTTCCAATAGACGTACAAGGAATTTCCAAGAGCTTCAGCCCAATATTTGGTCTGTTCCAGAACACCAAAAATGTGAAAGTTTTTACTACGATAACCGATCTTCCTTTATGATTTCGAGAAAAATAGCAAAACTAGTAAATTTAAAAGCTATTATAGGAATAACTATGCAAATAATGATCCACTGGGTCTCCTAGTCGTCTAATTCAATCAATTTTACAATATACATAACTGATCTATCTGAAAATAAAAATATTTTAAAAAGGAAATTAATATTGCAATTAGATTCTTAATATAATCTGTATGCACCATTATATAATTACAGAAGGTAGAACAAAGCTAACCCCTAAATACAATTTGTTTATGCCGTCCACAATAAAAAAGTAAGGTAGAACTACCAGCTGATTACAATTTCATTCGTCTTTCCCCTTTTGACTTATTGTAAAAATAAAAAAATAATATCAAATAAATAAAAACAACTTGTTGCATATAATTTTGAATAATTCTGACGGAAGCAGGCCTTTGCCTCAGGGCTGCATTTCTCTAGTTTTACGAAGCTGTTATATCTCCTTATTGTACCATGCCCTCCACCATAGTATGGAGGGTACATTAAGACCCCACAAAGTCTATATATTCTTGATCAGCATAAAATTCTATATCGATTTAGCGATGTCCGTCCGTGAAAATAACTCTAGTTTCCGAACGAAATTAAGTTGATTGATAAAATTTTACTCAAATGTATATTATATCTGCAGGACTTTTGGTATTGAAAAAGGGTCATGTAGGTCCACGTTTTGGTATAGCCCCACATATAACGGTACCTCCGATATTCGGTATTTTGATGATTTTAGCGACATTATTCACGGAATTGTTTCAAATTTATTATTTGAATTTCGAAATGGATACTACAGTCAAAGACAGAAATTTTTCTATGCAGGTCCACGTCTTCGTATAGCCCCATATAACGGTACCTCCCGATATTCGGTACTTTTGATGATTTTAGCGACATTTTCAACGGAATTAACTCAAATTTGGTATTTGAAGTTCGTAATGGATACTACAGCCTATGCCAGAAAATTGTCTGTGCAGGTCCACGTTTTTTTTTACCCCCTATGGTGCCTCCCTATATTCGGTATTTTAATGATTTTAGCTACATTATAAACAGATTTTTTCAAGTTTCACATTTGAATATTGAATTGTGCTCCACGTCGTCGTATAGACCTTAATATACGGCTACATTCGGTATTTTTTTAAGATTTTAACAGAATATTTAACGGATTTTATATTTTTGAAAATTGCCAATATTGTACCAAATGGTGGAGGGTATTCAAAGTTCGGCCCGGCCGAACTTACAGCTTTTTTAATTGTTTCTATATCATGAAGGTAAAATCGGGTATAGTAGTAAAAACGTTTTACATTCTTGCAGTTCTGGAACAGACATTTGTCAATTTTATAATTTGGGATTTGGATTATTAACTTGTAAATGGTGGACTAGTAATCCAAGAATGTTTAATGTTGATGTTTTTTTGAACTTCAAGGAATCGCTAAGAAATCGTGGAAAAACTACTGCTCTGTTCTAAATTAGTGTTTAGATACTGGTAGGATCTGGAATAGAGCATAAGTCTCTTTCGAATAGAAATCAAATGCTATGTTCCAGGACCTGCAAGAATCAACTAATTGAACTAAAAAATGTCGTTTTGTAAATTATAACAACTGGTCTGTTCCAGAAACGCAACGCAATGTACAAATTTTTGATACGATAACTGATTTTCAATTTATGATATTGCAAAATAATTGCAACTGATAAAGCTGATTCAAACACAGGCTCTACTCTATTGAAAAAACTGACCCCAGAAGCCGGATCATCCGAAGTGGCCAATTTTCAGTCATTTTTGTTTTCTACATTTCTACCGACAAGGACCATAAGATTGTAATACTTAACGAATAACATGGCTCAATGCGTTCATTCAACAATGGCATTTACATTTGAAACATTTGAAAATGAAAATCGACCCAAAATCAATGTTCATAAAATCGATTACAAAAGTCCACATTTAGTTTTCACCACTGACACAAGTCGACTTCAACTCTTCAAAATTAAAAGTCGACTAATCGATTAATGAAAGTCGACTTACGTATCCCTACTGTCTACTGTGTAATTTGATTAATGTGATTATCGGAGTGGTGTAAAGGAATTAAAGTCAGAAAAAATTGTAAAATATCGAAAAACATAGGAAAATTCTCGCGTTGTAAAATATATATTATGTGATTTTGGCAATCGGTATCTCGAAAATTATGAATTAAAGTCAGTGCAAGTGATTCCATTTCATTAAAGCAAAAAACAAATTAAAGGGTGTCGTCTTTTTTCACTGCAAAATAATTTTCTGCGGCCGCTTGTAACTCACCACTTGTATGTTGTGTTGTTTGTTGTTGTGTTGAGTTGTTTGTTGGTCTCTCTCTCGGGCTCTCTTTGTGTTGGCTGTCAGAATTTTTTTCAGTAGTTTATCGATTCGTGATAACACATAAAATACATTTTTTCTGCTGCTCCAACCTCCAACTACACAATTGCCATTGAATGTTTTAGGAAAAAATTGGATATTTCATTTGTTTAAAGCGCAAACAATAGAAAAAGAAGACAAGGATACAAAAAATGAACATCGATTTTGTAAAATTGTGTGGCAAACATACGCCGATCTATGAGGCCTACTACAAACAGGTATAGTTTTTAGACCAAATTGGAACGGAAGTTCCTAGGAGAAAAAATTGGTTTGGATTCACAATGATGTGTACTTGTTACAGATGGATCCCAAGGGAACTGGGACCATTGAGGCAATGGCTGCAGCCAAATTTCTCAAAAAGTCAGGCCTTAGTGATGTGGTGCTCAGTCGGGTCTGGGATTTGTCAGATCCCAATGGCAAGGGATATTTGGACAAGCCAGGTTTCTTTGTGGCCTTAAAATTGGTGTCATTGGCTCAGGCTGGCCATGTCTACAACATGAACAACATTTACATGGATACGGAGAAACCACCAAAAGTTGTAAGTATACCGAGTACGGCTCTGCCACAAGAAGTTACACAATCGAAAAAGGACATATCGTTGTCATGTCTGTGTGTGTGACTTATGAAAAGGACACACATTGTGCGTAATTGATAGTTGACTATTATGGAAATTTGCAAAATGCCGATGGTGCAGTATTTCGAAGCAAAAATGTGATTAAATGCAATAATCATTTTAATCTGTCATTTTCTTGATTTGAAATTGCTTCAATGTGCAATTTCGAAATAACAGTGTAGTATATTAGTTATCAGAAAAATTGCAATGTAATGTATTGTTATACCATTGAGTTGAGTTGCATTTTAGTGTGGATTTTTTTAAACATTTGTAATTAATTACTCAAAGTTGGAATAACTTTAAATAAGGGGCGTGGTCTTATTGATGACCTAAAAATGATTCGAAATATCATATGTAGGTTATAGTATGAGCGGGACAAATTCGACTTTTTCATAGGAAAATATTTCTTGTAATTACCTTTTTTTCCAAACATCCAAATTTCACATCTGAAAAAAGGTGTTTTAAAATTATAACGCTCTAATATGTATAACAAGACTAAGGGAAACATTTCAAACTTATCCGAGAGGTGTCCCTGAATGAAACCTGTTCCGATATTTGTGAATTTATACTACGGCGGGTATAATAATTTTGTCATTCCGTTTGTAACTCCTCAAGAATTTCACTTTTTACCCTTTCATCCAAAAGAATTGAAATAAAAGCCTAAAATTCTGAACATATTTTTTTTTGTCAGTAGGTAGGTCAAGTTTTGTAACTGGACCATGTTCATACACTTTTTCCTGTGTGTCTCATATTCTTCGATAGTCTTATGATTTTATTTGTGATCTTCGCAATGAATTGCAACTACTGTAGCATATTTACAGGTCCTAGTTTTCCTGTAGCCACCATAAATCGGTACATCCCGGTACTCCCTATCTGGATAATTTTAGTAACATTTTCTCACGAAATTGTTTTAAATTTGGTATTTAGAGTTTGGTTCTAGCTTGTGTGGCAGTACTTTGTCCATATAAGCCTACATTTTCCTATAGCCCCGGATATTCAGTATTTAAACAACTTTAGCTACATTTTCTAAAGGGATCTATCTCAAATGAGAGAACATTGTCTACGTAGGTCCACATTGTCCTATGTACAGTATTCGGTATTTTCACGGTTTTTTGCATGTTACTTGCAATGTGTACCTGTTCCAGTTTCGGTTTAGCTCCTATATAACGGCACTATACATTTTATGATATTTAAATTCCAGTTTAAAATGGAACATTATTTAAATATTGAATTCCTATATTTTTCTCCCAAAAATCTACACTTTCCGAAATCTTGACCTTGATACTTTCGGCAGTTATTACTTGTTACCGTACTGATGACCATACATTCAACTTTAATTACACTTTGGACATATATCGGTACTTCCTAATTGGTGGATTTCGAAAATTCATATAATTTTCCACGAATTTGAATGTGGTACTAGAATTGGTTCCAATACAAGCATAGTAATATCCATTATAAATATCAACCTTTTTTTTAATTTTTTGCATATATTTTATAAACTGTTATCGTATTCGCACTAGCTTCTGTATAACTACATTAAAATTAAATTTTTAAATAGATCTTATAAACGTTATTAATTTGCATTTGTTTTATATGATCAGGGTGATTTACCAAAGATAATGCCACCACGTGTACCACCATCTCCGGTTGTAACTGCTGGTGCCGTCCCCGCCGCTGCACCGACGGGTGATTGGTCAATTCGTGTCATTGATCGTCTCAAATATGAACAACTATTTGAATCACTAAAACCTGTTGGTGGAATGTTACCCGGCAATAAGGTTAAAGGAGTATTATTGGATTCCAAACTTCCTATGGACACATTAGGAAAAATTTGGGATTTAGCTGATCAAGATAAGGATGGCAATTTGGATAAACATGAATTCATTGTTGCCATGCACTTAGTTTATAAGACTTTGGAAAAACGTACGGTGCCCGATGTTTTGCCACCAGAGTTGCGAAAACCAGGCGTACCACCACCAAAACCGGCACCACCTGTTATAGCTGGTGGTGCTACTATGCCTCGTGCACCATCGAATGATGGGTTCGGTGATGGTGGCTTTGTAGCAAACTTTCCCAAAGACATTGCTCCACCACCGGCCATACCCATACCACCAGCCATACAGCGTGTTCCACCCGTTGGCGGTCCAGCCACTGTTGGCCCGTTAATTTCTACAGATCCTTTAATACCCATCGGTGCTCCACCATCGGTTACTGCCAATGCTGATTGGGTTGTGGGTGCAGAAGAATTTAAACGTTTTGAAGTAATGTTTCGGGAAGCTGATCGCGATAAGGATGGTCTAGTGTCTGGTTTGGAGGTAAAGAATGTCTTCTTGCAATCGGGAGTGCCACAAAAAATGTTGGCACATATTTGGTATGAATGCCTTTTGTTGATATAGCGAATGTTATTAAATAATTTATTTTCTTCAGGGCCCTTTGCGATACCAATCAATCGGGAAAATTGACATTGGAACAATTTGCCTTGGCTATGTGGATGGTAGAACGCAAACAAAAAGGTATTGATCCACCTCAGGTATTGACGGCCAATATGGTACCACCATCTATGCGGGGCATTGTATCCGGAGTAGATATCCAACCACAGGTAAGCACTAATCCAGTTGAATGCTCTGAGTGATTTCAAATTACATTATTCAATAGGAACCAAAACCGACATATACTAATCCTGAATTGGAAATGATTTCAAAAGAAATCGAAGAGCTGGCGAAAGAACGAAGAGCTTTAGAAACTGAAATTGCTCAAAAGGAAGCTGATATACGCATTAAAAATGGCGAAGTTAGAAGTTTACAGGTTAGTAATTTATAAAAAAATACTTATTTACAATTTATTTCATTAAATTAAATTATACTACGTACAAGATTAGGCCCTCTGGTAGCCAAGACCTTGTGTGCAAGTTAATATTGTAAATACTATTATAATTAGGAAATAAGTTCATGCGATAGTAAGATATGCAAATCCAAATTCCATGCAGGTGGTGTTTTTTTTTGTTGGAAAATTCAATAAATTTTTCAATGCATAGCCCAACTGCGGACAGAGGATATTCCGCTAAGATATGTGAAACAGACAAACAAGAACCACATAAATAATATAGTAATAATCCTGTATGGGTCTAAGAAAGGCACTCAAATCATCTAAAGCAAGAATCATATTGATTTATAGAAATCTTTGGACTAGTTATGTACAAATATATCACGAAAGGTTGTCACGCAAAGTAAATTGATAGCAAAATGACATTTCATTAGAAGTTTTTTGTTGGCTACTTCTGTCTTTAGTTGTCTATAAAAACACTAAATTTTTTACACCTACAAGTCTCCTTTGTTGTCAGCCAACAACTACATTGTTAAATTGATTCCTTCCTTTTATAAAGAATTGATTGTTTCTAGATACCTTCTTTAGGTCTTTTATAATGACTTCGGAATAAGTTGTCTATAAATATTTCTTCCCGTGGAATACAGCAAAATTTTGAATATTCACTTCTGATACTCTGTTACAATATTTTTCTTTTACAGAGCGAATTGGACACTCTTTCGGCCACGCTAAAACAATTGGAAAACCAACGCGGCGAAGCCCAAAAACGTTTGGACGACCTTAAAGCCCAAGTAAGTTTTAACATTGTATTATTTGAAAACATCTAAACAAGTTTGTTGAGTTTTAATTGTTTTATTTGATTACTTTTGCTAATTTTGTTTTGTTTATTTTTAATATTTAAAACTTGGTTTATATCAATCTGCCCATTCCTCTTAAAACAACATCATCATTCGATCTCCTCCCAAACTGGGAAAATTAAATTTCAAATAAAAAAATACAAAACGCATTTCACTGAAACCCTCCCCCAAATACATTTACATAGAGCCTAGAGTATGAGAAGTCACTGCAAATCATAAATCTCGAAATTCCTAAAATGAGAAATCAGGTTGGTTTTGTTATTCCTTTGAAAAATTTGTGTTGTGTTTTTCTTTTTTAGTTTTGTTTTGTCTTAAAAAGTTTTGTGTTGCTTTCCCTATTATTTAGTCATTTTTTTACATTTTCTGTTTTGTATCTTAAAATTCATAATTTGTTCTTTATGGTATACCAAAGGTATACAAGTGTGTTAAATTTTAATAAATACTTTTTTGTATTAACCTCTGTTGTTGTAAACCCATTACATACTGCTTTAACGAAACGTCGAAAAATAAGAAATCTTGTGCATGTGTCTCTGCTCTTGTCTAGCTAGCTAAACCAACAACTAATGTTAAATGCGACAATACCATCTCTTCGTTTACCATTCATTTGCAGTGCTCAAACATTAATCCCTTATTATTCTTAATTCCAATTCTATTTTAGGTCAACAAGATTCGTGAACAATGCCAGAAACAAGAGGAAACTATCAACGAACAAGAGGGTGAACTAAATGCCAAACGTTCAGAGTTGCAAAAACTCAAAGATGAGGAGAACTCACTGCAAAAGGAATACGATGAAAATAATCGTGAATTACAAAAGCTTACCAATCATTTGCAGAATACACAATTACAAATTAGTTCGGTTAGTATCTTCTTTGTAATTTTTTCAACATTTAGGCAGATAATTGATTGCGTTTTACTTCCCATTACAGATAAGATCTATGGTCACACAACTGATGGAAACCCAACGTCAAATGACTGATGCTCTACTTATGTGTCGTGCTGCCATTGATGCTGAAAATGCTGAATTAGTTTCCGAATATCAATTGAAAATCGAACCTGACTTCAGTGATGCCCGCATTCAGTTGGAGAAAGAAATTGAAATCCCCAAAGATGATCCATTTAACGATACCACCACCGCAGCAATGAACAACAAAAATAATGGTTTTGCAAGCAATGGCTTTGATAGTGATCCATTTACCGGTAGTACAACAACTGCAGCACCGGCAAAGGGTGGCTTTGATGATAGTTTTAATACAGGATTTGATGCCAATTTCGATGCATTTGCCAGCAGCAATACTAGCGGATTTGGTGGCGATGCATTTGGCGGTAGTGCTTTTGCAAACAAACCGGCAGAGGTATGTGGAAATTGAGAATTTCGAATGTTTTTATAATAAAATATATTTTTCTATTAAAATAGCCCGCGAAGGATAACTTTGACAACGATCCATTTGCTGCCCTACATGCCCCTACAGGACAGGGCCAAGTTTTAAGTCCAAATACACAGACACAACAGCAAAACCTAACCACTGCTAAATCAGGACCTCCACCAAGACCAGAATCACCTAGTCCAGCTTTACCTCCAAAGAAATCAAAGGTGCCCCCACCAAGGCCAGCTCCCCCAAGACCTTTGCAGGTAAGAATGCAAAAACAAATCCACGATGAAAAATATTTTTGTTTAACTGTCATATCTTAATTGTATTAAGTGTTGTAAAGAAAGTGTTTCCCAAAGTGAAAATATGCTCAATATAGGTCATTTATCCTTAGCTTTAGTTTTCAACTGAATTGCTTAATTTGGCATGTTCATGTTCACCAAATGCTCTCCCTTTTGAAGATTAATAATACAGATGAATAATATAATGTTGCTCCTCGATATCACATATGTACATCTTTGTAAACTATTTTAAAAATATTACCTTCAGTTTGGTTTGGTATATTCCTGAGGTAACCTTTTTGATAGCATTTTAATATTTACATCTCAGTTCCATGTTCCCTTATTTACTGAACGAGTTCGGGTTGACGCCTATTCCAATATCGTCTATTTATACCCTACACCACAAGGTGGTCAGGGTATTATGTCTTTGTGCATTTGTTTGTAACAGGCAGAAGGAAACGAGATAGACCCATAGTTCCTTTTGATGATCTGCATAAAATCACATTCTGAGTCGATTTATGCATGTCCGTCCGTCCGTCTGTCCGTCCGTCCGTCTGTCCGTCCGTCCGTCTGTCCATGTATTTTTGTAAACAAAGTACAGGTCACATTTATTGCCCGATCCAGATGAAATTTTGCACAGATCATTTGTTTGGCCCAAGGACGAACCCTATTGAAATTGGAAATAATCGGTCAAAATTTAGATATAGCTCCCATATATATCTTCGTCCGATTTGCTTTTTATTGTGCACCAAACGTGTAATATCAGCCCGAATTGTATGGAATTTTGCATATACACCCAAATTAGGTCTGAAAATATGTATGCCAAATTTGATCGAAATCGGTTCAGATATAGCTATAGCTCCCATATATATTGTTCTTCCGATTTGTTATTTTTGTCCACCGCCGCCGTAATATGCACTCTGTAACAACAATATTTGGGGAAATATATCAAATGCAGCTCAGAAATACATTTGCTAAATTTTATCGAGATCGGTTCAGATTTGGATATAGCTCCCATATATAACTTCGTCCGATTTACTTTTTATTGTGCACCAAACGTCTAATATTTGTCCAAATGGGATGGAATTTGGCACTTACGACCGAATTGGGTCTAGAAGTTAGTATGTCAAATTTGGTGAAGATCGGTTCAGATATAGCTATAGCTCCCATATATACTGTTCATCCGATTTGTCATATTTGTTACCCACAGCCGTAGTATGCACTCCGTAACAACGATATTCAGGGAAATATATCAAATACAGCTCAGAAATATCTTTGCCAAATTTTATCGAGATCGGTTCAGATTTATATCCAAGTCTTCCATATATCCCATATATAGCTTTATCCGATTTCAAATTAATTGTGCACCAAATGGGCAATACAAGTCCGAATTTAAGAGATACAAATGCTTTGGCATATTTAGCCCTTTGAACTTTAAATTATAATTATAATCATAGCGTTTATGATTGAATTCTCCCATAAAAACTTTTATTGTTATGTGGAGGTCTACTAAATTAGCAAAGTGGTGTAGGGTATCATAAAGTCGGCCCCGCCCGACTTTAAGACTTTCTTTACTGGTTTTTAAATATTATTAACCAATTCATTACTTCATATGTTAACTAAGCGTCTATTCATTTTGGATCGCTAGAAATTTGTTGTATATTCCCTAAATCTCATTAGTTAGATTCTAGAATTAATTCGTTTCCAAGTCTTTTTGGGCAATTTCGATTTATTGCAGTTGCCGAATGCCCGGTTGTTGTTGTTGTTTGTACATTATGTTCGTCCCAATTTAAGAAGATAGAAGAATAGAATAGAGAGAAGAGAAGGAAATGAATAGCGGATAGTGAAAAAGTTAGAATCTAAATAAAGAGTAGAGAAGTTAGTAGCTTTGCATCCACGGTGTATCAGTGTGTCGTGTGTGTCGTCCATTTTAGTCTTCTAGCTATCTGAAGAATGACTGCTGGCTCGATGTCGGAGAGGGAGGACAAGTCTGGCAGAATTTGCTTACCCTGTAGCCTCTGCCTCACTCATATAAGAGTTGGGCAGTGGCAGAGTAAGTGCCCCACCGTCTCAGTTCCGTCCACTTCCTGACAAAGCCTGCAGTATTCAGTGTCGTCACCTCCCATTTGGATGTCATGGCCTTTATGTTGCAGTGTCCTGTAATTAGGCCCACCACAAGCTTCAAGTCCAGCTTCGTCATGGATAGTGAGTTACCTTGATCTCCTTTCGGAGTTCACCGACCAAATCATTTTGGAGACATTACATCCTCTTCCAGTTAGCCAGCTCTGTTAAAATTTCCAAGATAATGCTTATGCAGTACTTGGAAGAAGTGACATAAGGGTGTCTTCGCTGAGCTCTTAATCTCTAGATCTACTGACACAGATCCGCGTCTGGCCAATTCATTGCCAGATATGTTGCAGTGCCCATGGACCCAACATAGTTTGACAAACGATTTACATTTTCCAGAGCATTCCTGCATTTCAGAACTGCCATAGATTTGGTTGTAAATGAATTTAGAGCCTTCAGGGCCGCTTGACTATCGACATATAGAGTCACCGGTCTGTTTAGTTCATTGATTCTGTTTGTCAATAGCTCTATGGCCTTCCTGACATCAAAGATTTCTGCCTGAAAAACTCTAAAGTCGTCGTTTAGTTTGAAGGATCGTTGGATACTTAGACTTAATAGACCCCAGTTCTCGTTCCACTTTCCATATTTGGGTGGAGTGTCGGGGGTCCAGATGTCTCTGTTAGGTATATGGATATCAAGTAGTTCAAAACTGTGCCTAAGTGATATATAATCGCTAGCTATGGCCTGATTTCCTTTGCTTTCCACAAACTTCAAAATGACGGAGTGTCCAAAGGACTGATTCCGCCATTGTCCCAGTTCATTGAGTCAGAGGGCACACCTAGCAGCTTGTTCCTCTATAAATAGACCTTACGGTTCTAAATTGAGTAGGGTGTCTAGTGCGGATTGGGGTGTGCTCCTAAACGCGCCTCTAATTAGTAGCGATGTAACTTTTTGGACTTTATCAATGCTTTTACTGAAGGTGGTTTTCCCCAAGGAGTGCCAGCAAACGAGCCCCTATAGGTTAGAATTGGTCGGACGACTGACTCATATAACCATTTGATTATGTAAGGCTTGAGTCCCCAGCTTTTTCCTATGGAGTTTTTGCAGAAATAAAGTTCAATCAAACCCTGCTTCGCTCCTCGATGTTCCTCTTCCAGCTTAGTTTCTGGTCTAGGATGGTACCAAGATATTTTGCTTCCAAAGAGAGGCTTAGCATAACACCATCAAGTATTGGTAGTGGAAAGTCTGGAATTTTCCGCTTCCTTGTCAGCTCGTACTCTGCTCAGTTTTTGATGGGTTCACGCCAAGTCCATTGCAGCGTGCCCATCTGGAGAGTTTAACTAGAGATCCCTGCATAAGATCTGAGAAAGTTTGCGGGAATTTCCCAGCAATCAGCAAGACCACATCATCGGCGTAATCCACGACCTTTGTCCTGTCGTGTTCCAGTTCGATTTGAATTTCATGCTTGGATAGAATGTTTAATATTTAATTAATTTTTTTTACTATGAACTGAAGATTTTCTAATAAGTATTTCAACATCCACAAAAGGCTGCATTTAACGTTATATGTTTATTATCGAAATATGTTGAAGAGTTACGCAAATGTCGGCCCTCCATACAATAGATTGAAGGCGACATGAACGTAACCTACCTTATTTATGATTTAAATATTAATTACCCTAAATTTGTATTTTTTTTGCACTAGGCTCCTAATCGCCCAGCTCAGCCGGAGGGCTTTGGTTCGACTGCAGGCTCAGGAGGTTTTGCTGATTTTGCCGATTTTGATACTAAGGTTGGTAATTTTTCAGTACGTTGGGATCGGTGGTAATGCATGCACACCGCTTATTACATTTATCGTTTATAGTTGTTGAGCAGTAATTTACAAATATTTTGTTTTTAATTTTTTAAGGTTATTTTTTTTTTAATTTTAAATAATTACTGTTTTTATTTTGGCCTTTTTGTTGACTAATGTTACTAATAAATTTTATGTTCGTTATATCCTTCATTCAATGATGGCTTTAAAAAAAACATTTATCATTCATTCTGTTTTCTTTATTTCGGTATTTATTTTCTAAACTAAACAAAAATATTCATGAGTTTTATTTTCAAGCTAACGAAAGATCTGCTTTCAGATCTTTTGAATATTTTCTCTTGCTATCCAATTCCCGCTCTTCTCTTTTCAATCAAACCCCCCAAATACTTTTGAGAAGACCTCAATAAACTAACTAACCGTATGCTTTTCATATCTTTTCTCTTGCAACAATTTTCTATTTTCAGTGAACGCCATAAAGAAAAAGTATCATTAAACCAAAAAAACTCACATCTCATTGTCGCGTATCTAATCTAGTTTAATTTTCCTTTATATAGAATAATTATTAACAATTTATTAACACACTCAAACACTTAACATACATATATACCCGATGACATACATAAGAAATGAAAAAAAAAGAAAACGTTAATGGAAAATTAACCCTTGAACAAACAAAGAAATTATATCTATTATAAATGTTACAAATGTTTTTCTCTTGATTTTTCACAAACAAAAAAAAAAAAATCACAATTTACCAAACGATGTATGTATTTCAATTGATAAGCAAATCCAAACGTACATACATTCTTAGTATAAATTAAATCAAACTCCTAGTCATTACTATATATAATAATTGTAGCTCCTCGTGTTCGTTTCACATAAATTGCAAATACGCAAAACTAGACTTATAACTGATTATTTAGCAGAGAATTAAATACATTAGTAAGTCAATCCAGGCAATGCAATTTTTTGCATCATTAATTGCTTTATATATTAAAGCCGTATAGCTCAGAAATCGTTTTTATTCCAGTTAGAAAAGTTTCGCCTGGAAATTCTGAACAGATCTGTTTCTTTCACTTCGACATCACTGCAATCAGATGACTCTTTTCATACCGTTTACTTATGTCGTTTTTAAACTTGCTCTATCATTAAAGGGGATTACTCTCAATTTGGCTAGTTTTAAAGAATATTACTATATTTCTACTCATCAATAGATGGGTTGGGATATGTCCTGACAAATTAATACTCTCTTGGTTTTTTAAGTCGATATTGAATTTTTAGAGCAGGTTTAATTCCGGATGCACTTTGCCTTCCATTTTTAGGGTGACATTCATAACCTGGTGTTCCATTCCATGATTTTACTATTTGCTTTAGTTCTATCCGATCCGATCCGATTTAATTCCTCAAAGGTACTTGTCGATACGAGTAATTATTGAGTTTTAATTTATAAACCTATTTTAGTAAACAAAATGTCCAGAATGCAAGCAACGGTTGGGTTAAAATGCCATTCCAAAGGTTTGATTAAGTTTTCATAGCACATGTCGTACTAATAGTCGTTGGAGAGATATATAGATAGAGAGAGAATTAAGAAAAATGGCCATGACTTGCTGTCATAACGTTGTACCAATTTAGTCTTGGGCCAATTCAATGACAATCGTCATTTCCCCATAAATTCAAATCTTGGATCCTTTGCCTTTTCCTAATGAAAAATTGAGCTTAATTAATCCATAAATTTCAATGAGAGCTGAGGTGGTTCTGGATTTTATAGCTTTAAGGGCCGCCTAGCTATCGACATATATATTGTCACTGGTCCTGTCATATCCCCATAAAGAAAAAAATTCATTTGTCATTTCATAATGACAACTTCTTTGATAAGAGACTTTTTGAAGCAGCTGACAAAATAGTTTATTGGTGGTATGAAAGTTTCATCAATTGATAGATCAATTGACTGGAAATCGCCACTTTATTCTCCACCATTTTGCTGTGCTATGGATCTATACAAAAGCTTAATTAATCAACGTATTGCAATGAGGGTTTTCTTGCAGTCTTGGGTGGTTCTGAATTTGATTGCTTTAAGCGCCGCCAGACTATCGACATATATAGCCACTGGTTCTGTTATGTTATTGTATAGTTCTTTTACTGATTCGGCTATCTTCTTGATTACAAGAATCACTGAAACCCCCGCCCATCCAGAGGTGGTTCACCACCAGCCCAGGCGTCCCTTTCAGTTATCGTAACGTCAATGTGGTTGAAGTCGAAAAAGGCGATTCTTCATCCTTAGATAACCTGCAATAGTTAAAAGCGTCCCTCCCCATGTTTTTCATATTAGAAATAAGAAGTCGACATGCAGACAAAGAGAGAGGGGCGCCGACTCAAAACGAAAAAATTCTCATAAAATATTGTAAAATTAATCGGGTTTCTCTAAGGATTCTCTCCATGTCCTGACGTTGTTTCGGAAAAACGAGATGTTAGTCAAAGTTTAAAAACAAACAAAAAAATACAAGCCGAAATATCCCATATGTTTCTTATGTTTAATTGTTCTGGATTGGACTAAAAAGTTTCAAAACCGGTGAACATACATTAAATTTGGTAAGGTTGATGTTTAGAATCTAATTTAAAAAACTCACAATCTGCAGATTAGTTTTACCATTTATTTATGACATTCACAAATTCTCTAATCATCCCCGGGTCTTAAGCTTAAAACAGGTTGCATGACATATATGCTCTGTTCCGGAACCTGCAAGAATCTACTAGTTTTGCATTTTTTAAGATTTCATAAAGGGATAATCGGCTATCGTAGCGTTTTTTTTACATTCTTGCAGTTCTGAAACGGACTAATAATGTTGTTTAGTGTATGTAATTCTCTGTTATTTGTCATTTATTTAAAATTTGGCCAATTCAGCAATAATTAATTTTGTTTAAACAAAAGTGACTTAACAATATTTAGTACATTTACTAATAATATAAAAAATAAACAATACTATTGCAAAGAAATTAAAAAAAAAAAAAACAAAATGCAATATATTAGCCTTTACATACATCAAAAATGAAATACAATATGAAATCCTAATACATACTCACTATCCTCGGCTATCTCCCTAAACACTTAACGAAAACATAAGCATACATAACTATATCAATTATTAGTCTTCGTGTACCTTAACCTATGAAACGTTCGTTATATAGTATATTTTCGATAATGGGAATTGTTAACAATCAAAATGCCTGGTACATACAAAAGAATATTTTGTTAGATTTTGCACAGGTTCTGTTACAGTTAGTTTTGTAAATTTCAATGATTTCAGTGATTCGAATCAAGTGTCAAAATGCATTCTCGTTGCTCGCATGTATCTAGGTGAAATGATATAATGAGAGATTAACAGTGTGCTTATGTGTGTTCGAAAGAATATTAATGGTGAAGAAAAACACAAATTCAATGTGTGTTTTTCAAATTTTTGATTTTTATTCAAATTATAAAGATTCCAACCAAAACGCGGATGGGATTTCGCATTCATTTTCTTTCGACATACATAAACAGGTCCTAAGTATGTTTACCGCATTATTGAAATTATACTGTACTCTAATACTTTAACCAAAGTTTCCTTTCATTATCTGTTTATATTTGACGAAAAAACAAACAATTATCAAAACCTAACTAATCAAAAAAAAAAGTGTATGCAATAGGAATGTTAGAAAAATTATTAAACATGCTGAACAAATACTGCTAATTTGAACCATCCATCCAAAATATAACAACAAGAATAACATAACAACATCTAGTCAAATTTATTTTCGTTTGTGTTAAATTGTTTTGTGAATTAATCTATATCTGGAAAGCATTTTCAATTAATTACACTACAAGTTATTTGAAGTTCTAAACAAATTACCTTTTATATTGTTAGCCAAAATTGTTTTCATTCTCATTACAAAATGTCTAATAAGTTCCATTCATCTCTCGTATTGTAAAATTCCATACGTATATAAAATGTGCGACTCCTTTTACTCGCATGTACATGACCAATTTGTGGAAAAATTTTACTAGCAATAATGGGCCAGCAATAGTCATGTTTTCAAAGAACCTGGATTGAAATGTTTGTGAATTCCATAGTGGAATTTATATAGATGGATCACGGGCCAATCTGTGTTCATGCTCGGAAAGCAACTAAAATTTGAATTAATCTATTGAAAATTCAATTTCTAATCCAAAAAAAAAAAAAAAAAAAAAAAAATACGGACACAATACTAAAAAAATAGGCTTAAAACCGGTATTGTTGTTTTATAAAGACTATACATTCGAAAATATATTATGCAACAACAAAATAGCTACGCTAAAAACACATTTTAAGGTTAAAGTCTTACTTCATATTCGAGTATGCAAAATTCTCCTATAAAGCATCAGTTTACAGAGTGAGATAGAAATCTGCAACAAAGTCGAACGACATAACTTTTACATTTTTTTTTTTGAATTTGAGCCGGAAATAGCATTAAATTTTAGAATAAGTTTAGATTTGTTCGAATTTGGCACGAATTATGGCCTTCAAACGGCCAATGAAACCGTCACACGATGCCCGAATGTTGCTGGGTAGGGTTTTTTTACCCATTCCCGGCAAAGCGCTTGCTTGAGGTGATCGACACTTTTGTTGTTGTTGTAGCAGCTCATACATCTGTGTTCGTTCGGTGTCCATTTTCTTGACTCCATTCAATCAGGTTCTGCCTCTAAGTCCAAAAAGGATGCAACCTGTATGGGTTATGTCCCTAACGAGACTGGAGTTAGGTGAGCAGGCTTGGCTGGGCAGCGAAATAGGTGCAGCGTGTCATGTGAGCCTGTGGCACAAGCTGGGCAGATGTTCTGCACGTCGCTGCTAATCCGGTCCCAGTAGGAATTTAGGCGGCTGCACCATCCGGATCGTAATTGAGCCAAAACTACTCGGGTTTGTCGGGGTAGATCTCGTTCTTCAGCTGCGACTCTATGTCCTTCAATGGCTTCTGAGACCGCATTAGAGTGAATACTATCCAGTCTCGCTTGATAGCCTGTCGATCTAGAGGATCTCTCTTATACCTCTGTACCTCTCTCTCTAGATCGTGAAGGTCTTTCCTTACGTGCCTGGGTGGAGGTTGCCTATCCACAAGATGGTGATTCGGATGGCTTTGTCTGAAATACTTAAGCAGGTATTGCATTGACAGCATTTTGTTATGCTGTCGCACGGGTAAGACCTTCGCCTCCTCATATAAGTGATCGTCAGGTGTCATGAGAAGGCACCCTGTTGCGGTTATAAGGGCGGCATTCTGGCAGGACTGAAGATTCTTCCACTAGCACTGACGCTGGCGCACCACACCGGAGCCGCATAGTTTACAGCATAATTGTTGTTGTTATAGCAGCTCATACAGCTGTGTTCGTTCTATTTCCATTTTCTGACATCATTCATTCACACTTTGGTATTTTTTATATTGGCACTTGCTTTTAAAAATACTCCATACACAATAGTCCAACGGATTGGTATCCGGAGATTTTGATGGCCATTGTGCGCTGGAAATGAAGTGGGGAACCTTTTTTTTTGGGTGGCGCGTGGTGAGTGCGATGGTGCTGAGTCCTGTTGGAATGTCCAAGGTCTGTGGCCAAAATCTTTGCTTGTCCAAGGCTTTAATACACCTCCAGAATATTTTCGCGATAATATTCGACATTTATTCTGAGTTCGGTTGCCACACGAAGGTGCACATTTTCAGATGACCTCCTTGGCAAGTAAACACGACCTTTTTGTTTGTTTACAAACTGCTGGCCAACAAAGGTTTTCTCATCGGAGAAAACCAAATTCGGCAGCTCACCGCTTTCGGCCAAGCGTAGCAACTCTTTAGCTCTTTTGAATCTATTTTCTTTCCGTTGCGAGGTAAGTTCTTGCACTTTTTGAAATTTCATGTCTCATATGTTTCAGTTACAAAAAAAAAAATCAAAAAATGTAACACTTTATCGGTATTTGCCAGTCTGTGAAAGTGGATTTCATAGTACTCGGTTTGTACACCAAACCCCCAAAAGAGTTTTAGGTTCACAGGTCAATCGTTGTCAAGTCCTTTTAATAACCTTGACCGTATACAAAAAGAACCCAATATTATATTTTGCTGAAAAATGTTCTACCCCGTAAGAATCCAAAATACAAATTTTCAGCTCTATTTTCAAAATCTATTACTGAAAAACTGAATTTTGTCAAGCAGTGTTACCAACGATTGGTCTCTTGGAACCGTATACGAAATTGCAATATTTTCCAAAGATGCTTTATACAAGACTTTAAAATCGTGTTTATGAAAAATTTAAAGGATATAATATTTTGTGTTGATTCTATTAATGATGTGATATTTCAACATATAGTACTATTCCGATGGTTCGCAAGAGACAAGGGACCAGACAGTGTATGTGATTTGTTACTTATTTTAATATGAATGCTACAATTTAAGAATAAATAATATTCATGGGACCAGATGTATAGATTTCATCTAGGGGGTGGGTATGCGTTTTCGGAATTCTACTGTTTATTTAGCTTGTTGATGATTTTGCCGGAATTCTTGGTCTTAATATTTCATCATAAAAATTCACAAACTACAATCTATCTGTTATATTGCTCAATCTCGGATGATTTCGATTTAGGGAGTTGAATTAAGAGTAACATTAAATCAAGTGATTGAAAATTGGCTATGAATTATTGAGGGTTTCGAATTATCACGGTACAATTTGGTGAATTCCACTGTAAAGCTTTGACTCATATAAATTGATATAGAGTTAAATAATAAAAATGGCTCATGGCCAAATGTTGATATGGGCTCTCTGCAACTTGCATGGTAGATTAATTCAGGTTGTCGCATCGACACAGCTGGTGGGACAAACTGATTTTGAAATTGAAAATTATGAATGAAAAATTATTGAAGTTTGTAAAAATTGTAGAAAAATACATATTATATCAACCACCGATTCGCGTCGTATAAGAAAACATATAAAAATCTACTTATTTTTGACAAAATATTTTTCAAATTTTGACATTTCAATGTTCACAAGCGTTGATGCATCTACCTATATTCTCCTACCATGGCAACTTGATGGATTTGAAGTGTTTAAAAATGTGTTTCTTGGTAGAAGAATATAGGTAGACGCATCGATAACAGCTGCTGGGACAATGAAGTGTCAAACCAATTTTGGAATTGAAAATGCTGAATGAAAAATTATTTATATGAAAACCTCCGAATGACGTCGTATAAGAAAACATATAAAAATTTACTTATACTTGAAAAGCCATTCACAATTTTTTTGACATATCAATGTTTCCAATCGTTGATGCGTCTACTACCTGTATTCTTCTGCCATGGTTTCTTTAAACTCCAACAATATGTTCACATGTGCATTTCATTACAGCTACTAAACTTGAATTTTGTAATGCTCACATACTTTCAGGCGCAATATAAAAAAAATCAACTGGAGTTATTATTATGATTATTGATTGATTGAATGTAATAGGGCTACGTAAATTGACTTTTGGCTTATCGATTTATCGAATTTTTAAGAAGATGGAAAGTTATGAAAATTCATAATGTAAATCGAATCTCTCGAGGGGAAATGGGAAAATCTACTATCAGAAGTGTATGCAATGGGTACAACTAGCCATTTATTTGGCCTTTGCATTCCTTGATGCCCGACATTGAATCACTATATCTTCAATTGCTGGCTTTCTGCTAGGGCAATAAACTCGACATTTCCCACCTTGGAAATTAATAAGCATTTCGTATTCCCAACCATGTCATGTACATACCCATATAAGGAAAAAAATAACAAATGAACAAAAAATATGAATAACAAACGCAAATATGGAAACTAAAAGATATTTGTAATTACAACACGCACCAATTCAACCAAAACTGGCGCTCGCACACGCCTACACTTAAGTTATCGCCCCATCGTTATCATTTAAAACAAGCAAAAACAAATTATGGAAAAAATATTTATCAATTGCAACCAAAGCTATAGTTAAATTATTAAACAAAAAAATGAAACAATAACATTCTGAAAATATTACATTATATACATATATGCATAAAATTACATTATTATATATAATAAATATAACAAACAAATTAATTTTTTCTCAATTTATATTTAAAACACAAATGAATGGAGAAAATATTTAAGCGATAACAAAGAAGAAGTGCATAGATCAATTGCATTAATAAACAATAAATAAAACAATTATGTATTGAAAGAATAAATGAAATGGGATTCTTTATTTTGGTCAAGGTTAATTTTTGGGAATTATTATTATTGTTTTTTTATTGCATTTATAGTATTAACATTCATTATGTATGATGTTTGTTTGTGTCATTAGTATGCTAAATTTCAATATGGGCTCATCGTGTGCAACCTTAATTTTTATAATATTTAAATTTACAAAAAGAAATTTATTTAAAAAAATGAGTTACTATCTACAATATGTCAATGTTTCAAATCTTGGGATTTTTTTTAAACTTGAGTGAATAATTTTTTCTACTCCACTTTTATTTAATACTATTTGAAATAGTTGCAAATTTTTTGAACAGTATCTATTTCTAAATGTATTAATGACCAGGTTTTGTGTACGGATTCCAAAGATAACTCAGAAGAAAAACACCCAATTCTTACAGGTTTTTCAAATGTTTGATTTTCATTTAATTTTAAAAATGTTCATAAAACTTGCGTTCTTCTTTCGAGTTTATTTTTGTATTGCCATACAGAAACATATCTTATGGTTTTTTTTATAAAATATTTTATTGGGACATTTGTTAATTTTTTATTGAAATAAATTGTTGAACTAACAACATAGGTTCAATATTTTATTTTAGGGTTGCACCAATCGAGTTCGTTATCTATTTTCTTTGTAAATTTGTTTTTAATTTGCATTTGTTTTATTTTTTGTTTCTAGAATATTTTTTATTTAAATTAAATTTTAATTTATATATTTTTCTTTTATTTTCTTTTTGTTTTTTTTTTTACAACCAAAAATCATTTATGAATCTCTAGGCACCCATTATACCACCGCCCCTGCCAACGATACCGTATAAATCAGCCACAAATCCCTTAAAGACAAAACCATCCAACACCAACTCATCGTCGTCGTCTTCGGTATCGACATCAAACCTATCATTATTTGAAAATTTTACACTTACACCAGCCACCAGCAATATCACAACCTCTTCATCCACTGCTACTACGAACAGTAATAACATTTCATCAAGCTCATCGATAACTTTAGGCTCGAATAATTCCAGCAGTACAACAAAACAGTTGGATGACTCATTTTCAGATTTATTCAAAAACGTTAACACCACTACAACCAGCACCACGAATATCATCACATCATCATCCATTGACACGGATACAAACAACACAAATATTACAGCCCTATCGTCACCATCATCAACATCGTTTGATGTCACAAATAGCAATAAATCATTAACACGTTCCCGTTCCAATACACCAAAGCAGCTGGCTGCGACCACATTGGGAACAAGTCTATTTGATGCGTTTTCTGCACCCGTAGCAACAAAAACAACAACGGATCATTTTAGTACGATTAAGTCGACATCTTCAATAATCAGTGGACCGACAGATTTCAATGATGATCCTTTCAAGGATTATCGCTATGAAGATCCATTTAATATTAAGGATCCCTTTGCCGATGACGATGATGAGTTTTCAACAGATCCGGAGAAAGTATTTAAGGATGAAATAAGCTCAGATGGTGAGTTTAAGAAAATATTTAATAAATCATGATTGATCACAACACAGAAACTACTAACCTTTTGCCACTTTTTTATGATTTGTAAATATTTTAATTCGGATTTTTGTTTAAGGTTTCCACATCATGTTAAAAACATATGTAAAGTGGTTTTTAAACCTTTTATGACTAACATTTTTGTAGCAGAAATAAAACATAACATAATATAGACTGCTTTTGGATAATTTGTATAAGATATTCTAGCCATTTGGATAGTGTAGATATGTTATTCGAGTTGTTTGGACGCGTTATCTGAGTTGTTTGGATAACATGGATAACGTAGGTACGTTATCCGAATGGTTTGGATAAAGTGGATACTCTATCCGGGTTGTTTGGATAACATGGATACGCTTTCCCTGTTGTTTAAATCAACTGCCTGGATAGAGGTGATATCGTAGATATGTTATCCGAGCTGTTTTGATAGCATGGATACGATTTCCAAACCGATGACGTGAAGATATTTTCCCAAGCTATTTGAATAAGGAATATACGTTATCCAAAAAGGATAGGGTGGATACAGTTTCCTGCCTGTTTGAATAATACGAGCATAATATTCAAGCTGTTCGTAGAACGTGGATAATTGTCCAAGCTGTCGTGAAAACGTTATCCGAACTATTTAGATAATGAATAACGTGAAGACATTATTCAAGCTATTTAAATAACATCCGTACTGTTTGGTAACTGGAATACGTAATACTTATTGTTCGGTTACAATGGTGTATCCATACGAATACATTATGGGATGGAACAATACATTGTGAATAATGAAACTCTGATCATTTTTTTAACATTACTAAGCCAACTCAAATGTTTTATACAATTTATCCATGCTATTTAATACTCCCTATTATTCTACTACTAATTTTTATATTGTTACTAACATTCTCCCAAACATCTCATTTTTAAATAAAAAAAATGTTTGCTTTTCACTTTTTCTAGACGACAAACACAGAACGAACACCACTAACAATACCACTCAAGATTCCATGCAAACCATATCAACATCAACCTCCAATATCTATAGCACGGCAAAATCAAATTCGACCGTTAGCAGTGACTTCCTCAATCAATTCGAATCTTTCAATCTTAATAACAATCCCAGTCCAGTGCCATCACATCATTCAAGTTCATCAAGTGCTTTTACAGGCATGGGTGCCATGGATGGTCCCATTAATAGCAAATCGAAAAGCAATACACCCATACCGACTGCAACCAATACCACCAACACCACAACATCAAACTCATCCAATCTATTTGATAATTTTGCTGATTTTGATGCATTCTCAACGAAATCGTCTACCTCAACAATGGAATCGAACAAAAAGACAACGACCCTGTCAGCATCATCGACTAAGATCAATAAACCCGATCCATTTTTAGATGCTTTTAATGATAATTTCGATACGCATTCGAACAAAAGTTACGACTCGAACAGTAATCCAAAGAAATCGACTGGAAAATCTATTAGCTCTTTGGATGCTTTTGACGATGCCTTCTCTGCACCGGAAACTACTAAGTCACGTCAATCACCATTTGATGCATTTGGTGGTGGCAGTTTTGCCAGTAGTAAAGGGGCCGGCGAACAAATTACAGCTGCGTCAATGTTTGATGCCTTCAATGATAACAACTTTGAAGATGATTTCTTCAAGAATTCCAATACTGCAGTCAAAGAAACAAATTTGAACAAAGGAAAATTACAAAACAAATCCCCAATATCATTTAACAACAACGACACTAACATTGACAACTTTGCAAAATTCGATGCTTTTTCCAATGACAATTTCAATAATTCGACAAACATCACAAACTTGAATAATAACAAACAAAAATACTCATTGCCATTATCTGCAGCAACAACAATACAATCGAAAACAGCATCATCATTAGGTTTATCTGCAATACCCAGAACTGAAAATTTACTAAAAGTACAAAACCAAACTTTACTCACAGCTGTGTCGAACACAGAAAAAGCCGCTGCTGCGGCTGCGGGTACCACCACATTAAATGAAAATGGTGCTAAACTACCGGAGAAATTCAGTGCAGACTATTCGAAACCGGAAACATTTGATGATGATCTGCAAGAGGCCATCAAGCGCAGCATGGTTGAACAGTAATTGAAATAATGTGTGGTTTGATGATGACCAATGGGCAATAAAAACCAGCAACCCCGGGTTAGAGGTTTTATGCCAAAGGCAAACTGACAAAAGTACATTACTTAGTAATAAATGCGAAAAAAAAAAAAAAACAAAAGAAACAAAATCTAGAGAGATAGAAACGAACTCTTTAACTTATATTCATACTTATATACATATACATTTCAAAGATATTATCTTTATATATTTATAAAAAAACAAAACTAATGTATAACGAAAGGAGTTGTTTGTTATTTTTGATATTGTGTTATGCTTATTTCTTATCAGATCCAGATATTTGTGTTTCCAAGTCATTCCAAATAAGTCAAATTATTTTGTTAATATGTATGTTATTACAAGTTCAATGGACATTATCAATGTAATTGTTATAATGGCATCTAATAATAATTTATTTGATCTCTAGTAAAAACAGCGAGTGAAAAATTGTTCTTGATCAAAAGCTTAGAAAAATTTTTCAAATGGTTCCATTATATAATATTCCAGGTGCCTTAAAAACTCTCTACATTTTAAATTGTGGTACAGTTTTTTTAATGATACTTGAATAAACAGGTTGCCACCGTTTAAGCCCGATAATATTTAAATAACACAGCAATTATTCTGGGAAGGCATCTAGGAAGAAATATTTAAAATAGGTCAGAGAGAAAATAAAGTTAAACATGGAAAGTACTCTAAGAGGTTTGGCTGTATAAAGTTTAATAAAGTGGTACCGTAACACTTTTATAGATAGGAGAAATAAATATAATAGGTGTTCCGTTGAGGGCTGAGTGGTGTTTGAGATCTTTTGGAAATATGTTTAGTCTATAATTTTTTTTTTCTACGGTCTTAACATATAAACCAGGGACCCTAGGCATCCAAGGATGTAAAATAAGTTTTTTTTCTGCAAAAGTCATTAATCGAATTAAAGCAATGAGGTGTTCCAAAAATGCCGAATAAGAAGTTTTTTAAATGTTGACACTAGCCACAAAGATCCACAGAATACACTTCCTTTTAAACATCTCAGTTTTTTTCTTCAAGAGAGTCTGAAAGTGTTGGAATATATTTTAAAATATGATCTTTACAAAGAATTCTATCCAGCAAATATTAAAAGAAAATGTATAACATTTTTAAAAACCTCCAAAAATGCCTTTAGGTTTTGCGGTTATGTCAAATGATTGGTATTTTTGTTGGTTTAGTGTTCATATGAATAAGGCTGTTGAAACTGGTCCATGTCGGCCCATATTAGAATATAACCCCTATTGTGGGGACGATTACCCACAGCCATACCTTTCAAAATATACCTGTTAATGTAGACCATTCAAATGGATATTAGATATGGAAAATCAAGTGACTATAAGTTGAGATTTCTAATACTATTTTTAATGTTGTTGAAAAATAAATTTTGATAAATTTTTTAACGAAAACTTATAAAATTTTAGTGTCCATCTATGGCAAGGCAAAGACATAAGGTTCTAAAATTTAACTTTAAATGTTTCTCAGAAACTGGTGCAATTCCTAGGATGTTTGCTATTAAAATTGCACCATATCGGATCACAAGTTTTATATAACATTTGTCAAGATTAGGCAAATGTGATTTGGAAATATTAATATTATATAATTTTTCATCAGGTAACATCTTCTAATTACTGTGAGGATATAACAATGAGACGATGGGACTTGAACGAATGTAAGAAAATTCCAAATATTAAAATTTAGAGAAGAGTTTTTGGAAAGAGTTCAAAAATCAATCCATTTGCATGTCATTATTTCAACTACTCTTCCAACATAAGCGTAAAGATATAGTACAATTTATATCATGTTATATTTAATTATAATAGCACATGAAATGGCATAGCCATATCAATAAATGCAACTCCTTTCGGCATACAGATACTACAAAACCAATGAAACAAATCAGATGTCTAAAATTCTTACTTAAAATGTGTATTTTTTCTTTTTTTTTTTTGTTCGATTATTATTTAATGTTTTTGTTTTTGTTATCATCATATTTACACGAAATCTCTGAAAATTATTTAATATTTTTGTTTTCTCTTTGGTAAAGCTTGTCGTTGTTCCCTTATTCCTTATCATCATTTATAATTCCATTTGAGAATAAATATTTCAATTTGTCTGTATGTATATACATAATACCACACAAATAAGTCAAAATTATGTATGTATATAAAACTGTATTTTATTCCATTATATTTTAATAATGATCCAAGTCATATGTTGTAAAGGATGTGGGGGAACAAATAAAGATATGGAATATATTATTGTGGAATGGATTCTATAAGATCTATAAAATTAATAATATTATTATTACAGTAATATGCTTAATATAATTATTTTATTGTTATGAACTCTAAATGTATTATTTACGATATTCGATCTATATACACACACGCATTATTTAAAACTTATACAATAAATAAACTATAATTAAAAATATATTTTTTATTTGATTATTGAGTTTTACTTCTTCCAAAGAAGGAATGGTAGGATTGAATATTTTTTAATCCTTATACTATATACAACTTCTCAAAAATGTACCATTTGGTATTATGTGAACTGTAAAAACTTAAAATTGGAAGGAGAATGAGTTTGATGTATAAAGAGGGTTTTGGAAATGTGTACTAGGTAGGGTAAGGTTAAAGGACGCACGATTGCCTTTTGGTAACCGCTCCACTGGTAGACCTGGTGGTCCACTGTGTTTATTCTAATGAAGAAAGTGGAAGAATGAAAAGAATGGTGGAAAAAAGTGAAGGTATTACTGATGGGAGATATAGTTATAAGGGTGATCCACGACTAGAAATCTTGTCGAGTCGTCTTTAGCCACTTAAGTCTTCTGGCTAATTGAAGAATTACTGTAGGGTCAGTGTTTGAGAACGAAGACAAATCATGTGACACTTGTTCCCCACCAAAATGAGTCTCACGTTAATGAATACTGGACAATGGCAGATCAAATGACCGATCGTCTCAATTACTTCTTCGTCTTGACAGATTTTACGTAGTCAAGATCATCTCTGTCCCATTTCTAGGTCATTGCCCTCAATTAGCAGTGACCTTTGATGATACCCACCACAAGTTTTAAATCAGGTTTCGACAATGACAGTAGAGAAATTGTCCTCTTCTCCGAGAGTGTGGGCCAGATTCTTTTGGAGATGCTGCATCCCCATTCGTTCGACATATGGTATAGGAGTCTAAGGCTTTCAGTGCCGCTTGACTATTGACGTATAAAGTTAACGGATTGCTAACCTCGTTTTTCCTCGTGACCAAAAGGTCTATGTCTTTTTTGAACGCAAAGATTTTCGGATGGAATACGCTACAGTCGTTTATAGGCTTGTAGGATTAAGAGTGTCACAGAAGACACCAGCTCCTGTTCCGCGTTCCATCTTTGAACCGTTGATATAGACGGCTATGCCGCAGAAAGGTGAATTGTTACGGGCCCAGGCGTCCCTGTGGATGTGGATTAAAATTTTGAATTGGGGTCCCTGTTGATGATAGGTTTATGATAAAGAGGTGGTTTTGGAAAAATACTAAATGATACTATATTTGGCACAATTTGTGCTTAAAATCTGAAATTTGGTATTAGGGTAGCTGTTCATGTGTAGCCTGGGCATATGAAGGTGGTTTCGGAAAGTACAAAATGGTACTATATTTGGTATTGGGTGAAGGGATACAAATCTGAAATTCGATATTTAGATTACTGATGGTATATGTGTTTGGGATGTGGCGGTGATTTGGAAATGCGTCCTATATTTGTACGAAAATTACTAAATGGTACGAAATTTGGTATTGGGTGAAGGGATGGAGCTGGAATTTTCAAATTTAATATTGTGGTCTCTGTTGGTATCTGGTATTGAGATATGGAGGTGGTTTTGGAAACGCGTACTAAAATTATAAGAAGTGTACTAAATAGTACTAAATATAGTATTGGGTGGATGTATAAAGCTGAAATTTAATACTAAATATTGTACACGAGATATCGGGTTATTGTGAATAGTAAGAGCACTGAAAATTTATATGCGACTTTGTCTATAATAAAAAAAATTGAATGTATTTTTGAAATATGTTAATATTTATCAAATATAGTAATATTTTACAAATGACGAAATATACAAAGCTACATATACGTAAGTACTCATGTTTAGAATTTTACTAGACAGAGAAGTAAATATTTTTATATACGTGTGTCCCTATTTTGCTATATATTGAAATTGGAGTTTAGTTTATAACTTGAAATAAAGAATTAGTGGTTATACCCTACACCACATAGCGGTAATAGTATAATGTCTTTGTGCATTTGTTTGTAACATGAGGGTCTTCATAGAATCACTTTCTGACTCGATGTACACGTATTTCTGTGAACCAAATTCAGGTCGCATTTATTATCTGATTGAAATGAAATTTTCCGAACAATATTTTTTTTTGCCCAAGGACGAATTGAAATTGGTGAGAATTGGTTCAAATTTACATATAGCTCCAAATGGCAAGTATCAATCCAAATGACCTGTATTTTGGCACATCCGACTTAGGGAGACATATATATGTTTCATCCGATTTGGGATTTTGAGTCCCTCACAAGTAAGATATTTGGTATCGGGGATCACATAGTGCTCGAAAATACCTCTGTCAAATTTATCGAGATCGGTTCAGAATTTTATATAGCTTTCATATACATCTTCATTCGATTTTACGGTTATTGCTCACCATATATGTAATATCAGCCCAAATTGAATAGATTTTTTCATATTCAACCGAATTTTACCATTTGATGAAACTCGGTCTTGTATATCTATTGCTCCAATAAATATTTGTTAATATAATCTTTATCGAAGCCATATCGAGCACTGTACAGCAATGTTATTTGTTTAATAGTTAATATGATCTTCTTCACATAAACTCCCAATATAAACTTTTTTGTTACTCTACTAAATACGCATAGTGGTGTTGGATATCATATAGTCGACCCCGCCAGACCTTATCTTTCCTTGTTGGTTTTTATTTGATTCACTTAATATAAATTCCTTTTTCCACATATGAAGAAGGGAGCACTTGCTAGTCGGTGTAGGCTATAATTTACTCAGTCGGTCCCGCTTTCACAATAAAAAATGTGTAACCATTATTAAAGCTTCATGTGTTTTACAATGGCCTTCTTCTGAATTGAATTTTACCATTGAACATTTTTAATGTATTACCGATAACGATGAAACATTTATAATAGGTCACAACTGATTAAATTAAAGCCATAATCTGTATAGAGGCTTAAGAGAACATTGCGGAATTCTGCGGACAAATATATATACTTTTTTAAGTTTAAGTGAAAAGATATAAAAAATATACAATATTTAGTTAAAAGTGAAAGTAGGTAAGACTGATAAATCTAAAATGCATGCAACTGCTTGAAAAGATAATCGAATGAAAAAGTGACGAAAACTGGGTATGGGAAAATGGTTGGTGTAGTGTTACTGATATTAGATTCACAATGATTACCCAATAATTTTGCAATAATTCGTACAAATTATTACAAAATTTCTTTGAATAATCCGAAGTCCAGAAAATGAGAAAAAATTTTTGAAAAACAAAACCGTTCATATTTTTATGCCAAATATTACAAATTAAAAATCTGAACTTCGATTTTGAATACAAGTACCCATTTGAAAGTTACAGACTTTCGAACAAAAAACGATTTTAAAGTACTTTGCAAGGTCTCATTCAAAAAGTAAAAGGAGAGTGAAGATGCAAAGAGAAGGGTTATACGGAGTTATTGACTGCTCTACACTATGACATCTTTTCCATGGCTTCATTGGCCTTGGTGCCTCTGTGGTTCGAGACGACGGCGTCCCATCTATCTTTTTCTTTAGAAAAGGCTTCCATTCATAATTTTTCTCCAGCGAGTAGTTCGAGAACTTAAACTGCCGATGTCCGATTTACTACATTCCTTATTCAACGGGTCCAGAATTTCCGTTGTCACTGTGTTGTCCTTCAAAATGTACGCATAGAGAGAAAGTGCAAAGATAAAATCACAACAGGGTAAGATGAAAAAACTGCAACCAAACTGCTGTCATTTCTAAGCCACTCGTTCGACAGCAGTTTAAATTATTCCAGTGACATCGCATTATAGTGTTTACAAGCGTACAAAAGCATTTTGGTGAGAATTTTCCAAAAAAAGTTAATCGTGATGGAATTCAAGCGTGATAGTGTGATTTCTTTATATTTGGCTGCATTTAAATGTGAATAAATCTTTTGTGTCTCGTTACCGTGATACTGGAAGCGTAGCCCGACGTCAAGGAAATGGACGGAAGAAATCAGCAAGATCAGCAGAAATGGTTCGAAAAGTAAAGAAGCGACTTGATCGAAACCCGCGTCACAGTCGTCGAAAAATGGCTCGTGAGCTGAACATATCGCAATATTCCATTCGGCAAATATTGAAAAATGAGCTCGGGGTAAAGCCATTGAAATTCCTAAAAGTGCAAGAACTTACGAAAATATTCTGGAGGGTTTTTAAAGCCTTGGGAACGCAAACATTTTGGCCGCAGACCTTGGACATTCCAACAGGAATCAGCACGCGCCACCCAAGAATGCTTCATTTCCAGCGCACAATGGTCACCAAAATCTCCGGATACCTATCCGTTGGACTATTGTGTCTGGAGTATTTTAGAAAGCAAGTTTGCACTTTCGCCGGGAATGGGCCAAAATACCGTAGAGCAACATTCGGGCAGCGTGTGACGGTTTCATTGGCCGTTTAAAGGTCATAATTCGTGCCAAAGATGACCAATTTGAACAAATATAGACTTATGATGAATTTTATGATATTTCCCACATTTTAACGGAATTAGTTGAAATTTCACACAAGGAGTTCTTTGTGAGCACTTTACTCCCTGAAAGAGAATTATCTGTATAGGTCTACGATATCGTATAGCTCCCATATAAGGGTCCCCCACGATACTCGGTATTTTGATGATTTTAGTCCCATTTTTCAACGGAATTGTCTGAAATTCTACAAAAAGAGTTCTTTGTGTGTACCCCCAGACATAGATTTGTAGGTCCACAATATCGTATATGCCTCCAATATATCGGCACCTTCAGATATTCGGTATTTTTAAGATTATTACAGATTTTTTAATGGATTTTATTTATTTTTTTTTTAAATTTCATAATTCGTTCCAAATGGTGGAGGGTATTCAAAGTTCGGCCCGGTCGAACTTCCTGCTTACTTTTAGTTGTTTGCTTTCATTTAATAAAATTAAAAAATGTAAAACTTATGACGTTTGACTTTGTTGCAGTCGTTTTATCTCACCCTGTATATCTTTCAGCCAATGCATAATTTATGTTAGAATGGTTCGATGGTTATATAAAATCGACACAATTAACTCCATCTTCATTGAAAAATATCTGGAATAACAACGAGCCAATATCGCAGCTGATTTTCCATTTTGTTACATAACATTTTATACATTCATATAATTTTCTAAAATTTAATTACATTTTCAGATATATCAAAACCGAAATGTCGAAACCAATTCTCTACATGAATCCTCTAAGCGCACCATCCAGAGCAGTTATGTATTTGGTCAAATACCTTGGTTTGGAACTGGAATGCATGTAAGTCTTATATATGTCGTCTGTTTCAGAACTGCAAGAATGCGAAAGTTCTTACTACAATAACCGATAATTGAAAATAATTACAAAATTAGTAGATTCTTGCGTGTTCTGAAACAGAGCAATTGTTTGTTCCAGAATGTATGCATTTAACTACTACAACCTATTTTCCTTTTATGATATCGAAAAATAATACAAAACTAGTAGATTCTTGCTGGTTCTGGAACAAAGCAATGATTGGAAATCATAAAACAAATCAAAAATATTCTTTAATTATTTTTCAGAGAAATAAGTCTCGATACACGTGAAACTCTAACACCGGAATTCAGGAAATTGAACCCACAGCACACGGTACCCACTCTGGTCGATGGTCATGATGTTATCTATGATTCCCATGCCATTTGTGGATATTTGGTAGATAAATACGCAACAAATGACGAACTATATCCCAAGGGCTTGGTACAAAGAACTTTAGTAAATGCCCGACTACATTTCGATTCTTGTGATATATTTTCACCCATGCGTTTTATGTACGTACAAATTTTATATGGAGGATTGGAAAGTGTACCAAAGGATGTAGTTAGGTGTTTGCACGAATCCTGGATGATATTGGAAGACATTTTAAAAGATAGTCCGTATCTTTGTGGTGAAAATATGACAATTGCTGATATTTGTTGTCTTGCCACAATAACGGCTGTAGTTGAGAATGCTCCCATTGTTGAGGAGACGTATCCCAAACTGTTCGACTGGTTACGGAGAATGTGTTCAATGCCGTTTTATTACGATGATGGGTCCAAACGGTTGCAAATGAAAATTAAGGAAAAACTCAAAGAGAATCGTTTAACCAAAAAGGAAGTTAATTGAAAATAAAGGCAAAGGGGAATATTAAATAAAAATACGTAAATTGTACACGTGGTAAAAAGTATTACCAGAAAGATTTTGTAATATAAATATTGGAATTATCTGCAATATGTAATGTATTATATTTAGGCCGAGAGTGATCAGTTGTTGATAAAAACAACTGACACAATCTACAAGGTGTGATAAAAAAAAACTTTAACAAAGTCAAACGCCATAATTTTTACTTTTTTTTAATATTTTATTGAATGAATGCCAAAAGTTATCGGAAATAGCATCATATTTTAGAATAAGTTTAGATTTGTTCGAATTGGTCACCCTTAACACGAATTATGGCCTTTAAACGGCCAATGAATCCGTCACACGCAGCCCGAATGTTGCTCTGCGGTATTTTGGCCCATTCTTGGCGAAGCGCTTGCTTGAGCTGATCAACACTTTGGTATTTTTCAGTGCCAACCTTGCTTTCTAAAATACTCCAGACACAATAGTCCAACGCATAGGTATTCGGAGATTATGGATGGCCATTGTGCGCTGGAAATGAAGCGAGGAACCTCATTTTGTAACCATTCTTGGTTGGCGCATGCTGAGTGCGATGGTGCTAAGTCCTGTTGGAATATCCAAGGTCTGCGGCCAATATGTTTGCGTGCCCAAGCCTTTAATACACCCTCCAGAGAATATACGGTTAATACGAGCGGTGAGCGACCATCGGCTGTTATGGTGGCCCACACCATCACCATGGCCGTAACTTGAGTTCTGGTGGCCAACCGAACAACCGGTGCACATTTTCAGCTGACCTCTTTGGCAAGTAAAAACAATCATTTTGTTTGTTTACAAACTGCTGGACAACGAATGTTTTCTTATGGGAGAAAACCAAATTCGGTTGTACACCACTTTCGGGCAAGCGAAGTAACTCTTTTGCTCTTCTGAGTCTATTTTCTTTCTGTTGCGGTGTAAGTTCTTGCCCTTCTTGAAATATCAATGGCTTTACTCTGAGCTCGTTTTTTCAATATTTACCGAATAGAATATTGCGATAGGTTCAGCTCACGAGCCATTTTTCGGCCACTGCGAAGCGGGTTTGGATCAAGTCGCTTCTTTACATTTCGCACCATTTCTGACAATGTTGCTGTTTGCTTCCGTCTCCATCCTTGACGTCGGGCTACGCTACCAGTATCACGTTAGCGAGAGATGGTACAAGACACAAAAGACTTGTTCACATTTAAATGCTGGAGTGCTCTAAGTATAGCCACTTGCGGTTTTCCATCCAAATATAAAGAAATCACACTATCACGCTTGAATTCTATCACGAATAACTTTTTTTTTTCTGGAAAATTCTCACCAAAATGCTTTTGTACACTTCTGTCACTGGAATAATTTAAACAGATGTCGGGCGAGTGGCTTAGAAATAACAGCAGACTGAAATTTGTTGCAGTTTTTTCATCTCACCCTGTATGTCATAATTTTTGGAAATTGTTGAAATGTGAGTTGGATTTGAAAAATTTTACATTTATTTTCATTTATTTTCTATTTTATGCGAATAATTTTCAATCATTTTCTTAACGTTTTGTGGGGGAGGTGCCAGAAGAAGGAGGGCCTATAACTTCAATATTCACATCAGATTTCTGGCTGAGAGAAATATTTAGATATACCAAGTTTGAAAAGTATTGCTGACTTGTTTCGCAATTTATGAGACATTTAAGTATTGAAAATTGTGACCCTATGTGGTGGTCAGAAGGGGTGGACTGATATATCTCACATCAGATCTTGCGTTGGTAAAAATATTGGGATGTGTGAAATTTGGATAGTATTTTTAGATAGTATTAGATGAGCGTTTTGTTTTTCAAAATTTTGAACCCTTTCTTTAGGAGGTATCAGAAGGAGTGGACCCATATATCCCACATTCGCACTAGATCTTGGGTTAATTAAAATATTGGGATGTGTGAAATTTGAAGAGAATCGGACGCGTATCTCGCGTTTTAGGAGAGACCGAAATATTCAAATTGTTGATCCGTTGTGGCGAAGGTACCAGAAGGATTGGTCCGATATATTATATCTTCCCACTTCATCTTTTGTTGATAGGAATATTGGGACGAGCCGAGTTTGAAAGGAATCGGTTGCTTATTTCGCGTTTTATGAGCTTCATGTTTATTCAAAATATCGACCCTTTGTGGGGGAGGTACCCGAAGGAGTGGTCCCATCATCATACCAGACCTAGAGTTGTTAAAAATACTGGGATATGCGACATTTCAAGACAATCGGACTCTTATATTACATTTTATATGCATTGAGATTTTTCAAAATTTTGACCCTTAATAATGGAGGTACTAAAAAGAGTAGGCCGATATTGTCCATTTCGGACACAAATTTTAGAATCCGCAAAGTTTAAACAAAATCAAATAATACTTTTTTAATCTAAAATAAATTATAAATTATTTTCTGTGGAAATTGTAACCTTTTGTGGAGAAGGTATATGATGGAGTGGACTAATGTTGCCCATCTCCGAACTCGATCTAAGTTTGACAATAATATTACGAGGTTTTCAAACCAATTTTTTACCAAGTTTTTATACCCTACAACACTATGTGTTGGGGGTATTATAAGTTTGATTGGGCCAGAATTTATGTAACACCTCGAAATATTGGTTTCCCACATAGGAAAGTATATATGGATCTTCCTAGCTCGCCGAGCTGAGTCGATCTAGCTATGTATGTCCGTCCGTCCGTCTGTCCATGTTAATTTGTAATCACTCTACAGGTCGCAATTATGGTCCGATCTTCACGAAATTTAGAATGTAGGTGGGGCTTGGACCAGAATAGAACCCTATTGCTTTTGGAGATGATCGCCAAATGTTTAGGGGATGAAATGGACCAAATACTGAAAAAATTTCGGATTTTCCAGTAGCTATACAGGTCGCAATTATAGACCAATCGGAATTTCGCATGTAGCTAGAGTTTAGGGCGGGGAAAAAGCCTACCAATTTGGGTGGTCGTCTGATAATATTTAGCGGATAAAATAGACCATATCTTTTGTGTTGAAAAAATTCAAAATTTTTCATTAAACCGTGAATATTTTAAATCCCGGCAAAATAACAAAGCCATCAAAAGGTTACTTCTGATCTTTACATTGATGTTAACATCCAATAAATCGGATATATAGCAAAATATGTGCGATATTTATGTCTATGAAAGAAGATATGCTTGAAAGATCTCTTATATGTCGAGAACGGCTGAACTGATTTCGACAGTTCTCACTAATTCAGAATGGCTTCTTGGCAGGAAAGAAAAAACGTCTATAAAAATCGCATAAAAATATCTCTCTAAAGATGAAAATTTTGTTTTCTTAAAATTTTTTCATATTTTTTTAATTTTGTCATATTTTTGGCATATTTTCATTTTGAATTAAACATTTGGTAATATTTCTACAGCTAACAAAACTAAGTAGTTAAGATATCAGGATATCATATACAGATCGCATTTATGGCCCGATCCTTACGAAATTTTGCATAGGGATAAGCTGAGGGTCAGAATAGAAGCCTACTCTTTTTGGAGATGATCGTCATATATTTAGGGGTTGAAATGGACCAAAAAACTGCAAAATTGTCAGCAGGCCGTAATTATCGCCCGATCCTCACGCACATTTGAATGGGGGTTACCGCACATTGCAAAAGCCAAGCAGTTTCGGATGGCCATCCAAAAATATTCAATGTGTGAAATAGTTTGCCAACTTTTGTAGACAAAATACGAAAATGTCTATTCCAGTGACTTTTTGGAGAATTCACAAATAAAGGAAAGACGTTGAAGAATGTCTGTATCTCATATATATGCGTTTCAGTCAAACGCAAACGGAAATATTGGTTCCAGATCTAGGAAGACCATTTACGTGCAACATCTACCAATAAATTGGAAATGAGCAAATTAGTTTAAGTTGCTATTATTCGAAACCTGATGGTTGTCTTTAATTATTTGTCACAATATCTTGTGGAATTCTGTCGAGTATTTCGCCTATATAAACTGTATGGTTTATTATAGTGTTGTAGGGTATTCAACGGTCGGCCACGCTCGACTGTAGCCTTTGCTTACTTGTTTTTTTTTTATCGGAGTTCGAGAGTTATCGTGCGCACTAGCCAGCCAGATATGTTCCAAATATCCTGGAACCGATTTGGTCCAAACAGGCCATGGGTATTAAACTATTATTTCGATGAGGCCCATTGTGATCGTATCGTTTATAATGGGACCATAATATTCGAAATACCAAAAATCGGGAGCTACCAAACATCTTACTTGTAATGGTGAAGCTGCAGAATTCCTAATTTTAATATCTTTTATAGTTCAAGTTCTATTTAGATTTTAAAAGACGGGTAGAAAGATGAGCATTGTTTAGTTTACGCTGATCATGAATATACATACTTTATTGGGTCTGTATATAAAATATATCTTTCATTTTATGGCAGAGGGTAGAATTCTTATTGTCGACATTTTGTATTTATGAAGAGCACTAGTCTTCCACCGATAATCCTAAATATCCTTACACACAGATGGTCCATCACCAATACATGACGCATAGGCCATTAAATGAGGTATTGTGTGCTGTTGCAGCACTCCCGTAAAGAGATGGGCAAAAGGCCCAGAGGCAAATATGCCAACATCTTCGCTGGAATGGTGGCCTGCTGGGGTTTTAATGTAACTGGGAAATATGCTATCTAAACAAGAAAACCGTTAAAAAACGACTTATTTGTAAAATATTCTGGGCATTCTATCCAAATTCAAACGTTTCCCTCTGGCATCCACATACTATAGCGGCCCCAAAACGTAGTTGAGAGTTGAAAATTTCAAACCATCCTGTGCACGATCGTGTTTATTTAAACCCAATATTGGATTACCACGATTTGGATAAACCACAATGGTTAGGGGATGGCCATGGTCGGTGGTGACAACAATGAGAGTGTCTTTGACATCAGTCATATCACGAGCCAATTGTGTGGCCTTTTCAAATTCCAAAGCTTCTTCCAGGGCCACAGCAGCTTTATTCTCTTGATGGGCAGTATCTATGTTACCACCATCGATGAAGATGAAATAACCTTTCTCATTTTTCTGCAAAAGCTTCAAGGCCACCTCTGCCATTTCAGATAACGA